CAATCTACAATAAATTATAATATGGTGTGTTAAAGGAATAATAATTATATGAGAGAGAGGGAAAAAAAATCCATGAATTTTCGACACTAAAATTTTTAATGTAATGTTTTCAATTTCGTAAAATACATGAAGAATCTAGGACGTGGAATCGCTTTAATTCTTTGCAACGAGTTAAAATGAAAATCTTAAGGCGTTCATATCGTTGAACTGTTGTTTCCCCAATTGATACGAAATCCTGTCTCAAGAAGATTGTTGCATGTGTATGAACCCATATACTTATATGGCGAATGTGTAAATTAAACACTTTTAGCTTGTCGTTTAATCCTTTTTACCTTAGGAATCTATTCGTTTTCACTTTTAAATTTAAAATTAAACTAAAGTCAAAATCTACAGCACAATTATAATTTGCTATTATATATTGTTAAATAAAGCCTATGTTATATAATATTGGTTAAGTTTGGGCTAGTTCAAAAGTACACAAAAGGATTCAGATATAGTTTCAATAACAAATAAATTTTATTATTACCAATGAGATTTTTACAAAACGTTCAAAACAGAGCTAAATATCAAGCCTTATCTTATTCATTCACAAGATTTACTGAAGCACCCTAGGTAACATATAACATACATAATTTCACTATACCTACCATAGGCTTTATTAAACATAAAAAGATTTAAAATAAATATTTTATTTGAAATAGTCAATAAGGGTAAGAAATTAAACTCATTAATTAAAATAATTTATGATGCCAATTTCTTAATACAGCTAAGAAGTAACATAAAGTTCTGTTTGCCTTGATTCTTCAAACTGTTTATGATTTTCATAATGTTTTTCAGTATAATACTTTCTAAATAAATGATTGTGAAATGGTGCAGATTATTTTAATTGTTAATTTCTTATAAAATATTAATATATATCGCAAAACGCTAAGAATTTACAAACAATATAATAACCACAAACTTTAACTCATTTTAACATCTGACAACGTTTTCGGCAAAATTCAAGTCTGAAAAGCATATCTATAATATTTATAACAATATTATAAATATACATAAAATTTATTAATGAATTAAAACTTATTCGTGATAGATAGATAGTTTATTGGCTAATACATATTTTAGCCATGGAATTTGGTCCATTATGTGTTAGTAGCTGTTGTTAGTATGACAATGAAAGCACATATAAGCAGATATAAATACGTATACATAGGTAAATTCCTATTACTTACTATAACATCTTAATATAATTTAATAATACAACGAATTAATTTTTTTTTCTATTGTATATACTTTTGATTATTATTTTGTTCTATTTATTTTATTTTTTTGTACATATAGTGTGAATGTCATCCTACCTCACTATAACTAATGTCCAAGAGACAGATTGTTATAATACTCAATAAAGAAATAAAAAACTAAAAAAAAAAACTCGTAGCTTAAAAATGTTTGCACCTTAACTCGCTCGACCATCGCGGCCTCGCACACATTAATAAATGTTAATTTATATTAAATACGAAAGTGAAAAACATTATTAACGTTTTATTTATTTAAATTATTACATTTATTTTGTATAGTATACGCATGTTCATATTCAATTTTCTTATAGTAGGAATGGTAGAAAATGGACAACGGCGAAGGACAAAAGACAAGATGTATAAGACTTGGAAGAAAATTGTGTTTGTTTTCCGCCAAGTCACATTGAGAGGACAGAGAAATCCTCTTCCCCGTCTTCTTTATTCTATCGTATTATGTGCCATGGTTCAAAGTCAAAGGCATCAGGAAAATAGTATGTATTCCTAACTATTGTAGCCTAATATCATCTTATTGAAGGACAAAGAGCTAATTAAGATTTACATAAAAAATACAATAATAAAATATTTGCGATATCTTTACATTTAATCAATCTCGTTTGAAGTTACTGTTTCTTTTGCTTCTCAAAGGTTATCAGGTTGAACTGACAGATATCAAACTATTTTATCGGAAACGTGTTATTTTTTTTACTAATGCATTACGCGTGTGAAGGGAGATTGTATTTAATAGCCATGATTTATCCTCAATGACATTTACCAAAAGCTAATAACATCACAGAAATATTAGTTGAACGTTTTCTGAAATAGTATTAAATAATCCTTTATCTTTGGCTGTATTCATAAACGATTTAGACGAAAATTTGTACAAAGGTCTTGAAATGTCAAGAGTAAATGTCAGTTGTTTATTGTATGCACACGAGGTAGTACTCTTAGCCCTCTAAAAATTCTGGCAGTTAAATTACTGCTTATGATAAATCACCTGAAGAATTACTGCCTTATGTGATACCAACATACAAATCGGGCCAAATTAGAAATAATAGTTTACCCAATAAAGGCAGACTATTCAAATTTGAGAGTTGGTACTTCGGTGGAAAACCAGTAGATGTAGTAAATGAATATGAATAGCTGGGTGTTATCATTATCCCAAGTTTGGTCCTCGGGCGTCACTTTTATGAACGAGTTATTTATTCAAAGTGTATTCTAAATTCTATTTTTCATAATACCGTGAATAAGTGAAATGTCCCTCACTTAAGTAAATTGGTAGTTTACATTGGGCACCAAAAAACAAACTTTTGAATGTTTCCAGCACTTCATGAGTCAATTCTTACTAATTTTGGGTTGAGAAAAACGAATATGACAATGGTAAATTTTTCTTAGCTTTAGTTTCTGTGATATACACTAGGTGGAAGTATTTCATATTAACGAGCTAACAGGAAAAGATACATTTTAATTATGTATGCTAACAACGCTGAAAGTGCATTTGATTTTTCAAAATGTTAGTTACATGCTAAGAGTTCGAAATAGCATTCACTTCTTAGAGACTTATCATATCGTTTTCACTATGTCATATTAAGGAATATGCAACGTTAAACAGGCTCACATTTATTACTCTAAAATGGCGATGACGATATGTACAATGAGATAAGAGAAAAATATTCTAATAACTCCTAAAAAGTAAAAAAAAAAAAAAATCAGTTATTTGAAGCATCACAAAGCTCTTTTTGAATTACAATCTTTATAATAATTTGATTCAAAAACATCCATTTTTATTAAAAAAGATTCGAAGTAAAACAAATTTTAGAATTTATTATATTTTTTTCTAGTTAAGCAGAATGAAAATAAAAAGTTAATAATGTTTCAAGAAATAATTTTTAAAGACCTATAAATCGTACGAAATTTCACAAAATTACTAACTATTAAATAGAAACAGTGAAAAATTCTGCTAGCTGAAAGCATTCTCATAAACTCCTAAATAGACCAATAAAACCATTTATCTAGTTGTTAGAGTTAAAAAAGAAATTAACAAAAGCCGATGTCGCTAGTTTTCGTTTACTTGTCCCACTACTTGAGAGAAAACTAAAGGACCAAAATCGGTAGTATTTTAAACATAAATCTAATGGAGTCCGCTGACATAAAAATGTTCTCGTTTTATTGTCAAAATAATCTACAGTTCTATACTAAGAACTCTTCCGTTTTATTTATTGACAAAAATATTTAAAAAACGAGTAAGTCCCTTAAAAGTACAAACAAGTCAATCTTTTATAACCTCAATGCTTCAAAAGTTATTTTTTGAAATCACATTTTGAAACATTGACTTAATGTTTCTAGCCCTAATATTTACGTTTTCATGAAAATAATTGAAGAAACCAGTAGGTTCCTTTATTTTAAACGTAAATTTTAGTAAGAAACATTAAATGACAAAGCTATTCAAAATTCATTTTCAACAAACTCATTAGTCACAGACACGGTTAGGCATATAAAAACATTGGATGGTGTAGGATGTAAGATACAATTTTTGTGGTTACCGGATCACTCAGGTATCAGAGTTAATGAGCTAGCCGATATCATGGCAAAACAAGCTATCACGGAAGGAACTCCAGTAGGGGATGCTTTTCCAATAGAAGTATTAGCTTTGGTAAAGAGAAAGGCTCTGGAGAAATGGCAAGGTCTCTGGCATGTGTTAAGAGACAATAAGTAGAGAGTGATCGAGCCCTCTGTAGTTCCCAATCGAGCGGACCTTCAGATAAATAGAAGAGAAGAAATAATACTGACAAGGCTCCGAATCGGCCACTCACGGCTAACTCACGAGCACCTAATAACAAAGGAGACGCCCCCCTCTGTGTCTCCGCTGCGGAGTAAATCTAACAGTGAGACACATTTTGACTGAATGTTATGGATATGAAACACAATGGAATGAAGTTGAATTGGAGAACGATATAACTGAAATTCTGAAAAATACCACCAAATTGGCAAAAAAAAAGTCTTTACATTTCTTCAAATAACGCACCTATACAACATAATTTAAAATTTGCTGACTTTTTTATTTTTTTAAATATTTTATGCTTTCAATTTATTGTTAAATTTAATTTCATCTGATGTAAAATAAATATTTTGTAAGGACTAAAATGACCCGTAAGAGGTTGAGGAGCCCCGCCATTGTTATATATAAATAAATACATAAACAATGACAAACTTCACTTTCATTTAAAGTAAATTTTGTCTAGTTTACTATGGAGCAATATTTAGTTCCTTAAATAAAATATTTTTTAAGTTATCGCTTCCTATTCAACAAAAAACGGAATTCGCACAAAAAAACACTAATCATAAATTTCTTAATTTTCTGCTGGAAATTGAGCAATTGGTTATATGAACTTTTTTGTAGATATCGATTTCTACTTTTTTTTTATTGTAGAACCCTCCACCCACCATTTCTGGTGTAGGGGGGGGGGTTGTTCTAGAGGTATAACCAAACCTATTCTATCCAGAGTGCGAGGGTCGAGTTTCATTCCGTGGAATATTGATGCCTACTATCAACCTTTTAAGTATTTCTCTCTAATTACGAGACACCTTGTAAAATCGAATGATATTGGCTGGCCCTAATGTAATAGCTTCCTAAATAAGTTTGGGCCCAAAAACATAATGAGTAGCAATAACTTCAGGACGTATCCTTTTTTGCTTGAGTAAAAATTAAAGAAAAGCTATTTTTGAATGATATAAAAATATATATTCATAACTCAACTATACAATCACATGTATAATTTTCTAAATTTAAATAGTAGAGTCAATGTTGGTTGTTGGAATAATTTTTTCTTGGGTCTTGACAGATATAGTTTAAAATAATATTATAAAAATGTACAGCCTTAATCCTGCTTATGGATATGTTAAACCGAAAGTCGATTCTGGAAGATTTCGACATAAGGGCGCTCAGGTATGAAACACATATACATAAATTATGCTTTAATCGTAACTTAGAATTTGTAACCATAAAGTCGAAAGGTTGATAAACATTTTTGAAGGTTCATTTTGCGTATGTAAAACCATTCTAGTAAAACTGGAAAGACTTGAAAAAGAACAGTTTATATTATCTCACAATCCACATAACATTAGGTTATACAATTTAAAACATATGATAATTACAGACTCCTTCAATTGATAAGCATTTCTTAAGATCTGGTCAACGAGGCGCGAATGTTATCAAGATGTTGGATTTTTCCATCGTTGGGATCTCCATAAAGATGGACCTGGGTTTATGTTTATGAGGTCTGATGTGGAATTAATGAAGGAATACTTTCTGATGTCTTTCTAAGATCTCTCAGGTCTTAGACGGTCAATGTTTCAGAACTTTTCCCTGATGAAAACTCTCAGGAACTTTGAAAGGATTTTTTCTTGTGGCTGGAGAATGTTTTGGTAATACAACTTCTCGTCGAGAAGTGGAGATACGGCTGTCTGAACCTTAAATGTCTTGAGTTCTTGAGATATCGAAAGTAAATCGGAGCTTCGCAGTTGGTAGATGTGTCCTTTAATTTATATCCATTGTACAGCTCAATAATATTGTTGAGTTAATGCTTCATATTTGGTAACCCTGCTCAGCTGTTGTAAACATAGCAGGTTGGCTTGGGTGAGGTTACCCAGATAGCAGCAGTTCTTTGTTCTTTAGTATTGTGATATGTAGAGAAGAATAAAGGTGTTTTGTGTATTTGTGATGTAAAAGTTTTTAACAAAGCCTCATTTGTCCCTGAAGTTATTTCCTAAGGTAAAAAATATAGTGACATTTGTTAAGCTTCCGTACTACTGAATCAAACTACCATTCGTCGTTGGTTGCAGAGTACGACTGTACTCACTTCAGACTGTCTTAATTACCACATTTATAGATGAGAGCCTCTATTGTTTTAATCACCTTTGTTGCATATTACCTCGTCCGCCTGTCGTTTCTGTTAGTTGCTACTGTCCTCCGGTTACGAACACTGAAGAAAGATCTTGCATTGTTGAACTCATCATCCAACTTTTTTTTTTATAATGAAATAAGCAGAGAACCTTTAACTCATATAAACTTTTTTGTAGCTCTTGAAGTGTCACTTCACCCTCTAAATATTACCCTCTACATACGGGGCACCAAGGGTGATCGAGATGTATTATGTGGATTTTTTCTTGCGATATATACGGCCAACAAGTACTGTCCTACCTTGATTGCTCTTATATTATCAAGACACCTGTACAATTCCCATGACTTCATACTAAATTCATTTCAAAGGGGCTAAATGTGTTTCTTAAGATTCTTGTGCTCTCGTTAATGTCCTTATGAGCTGAAAGTAGTTGCTATAGTGCTTTGATACCTTGGAAACTATTTTAATTTAATTTGTGGAATTATCACCCACTTTTGGTGAACAAGTTTACCTCTCTCCCATAAAAAAAATCCTGTATCCGCCACTGATAACATCTATTCTGTAGTTATCCGATGGTTAGCTACTTTTTCTGATAATGTTATTTGTTATATACGTTCTTTGTTGTCATTAATTTATCTGATATCTTTGTCGCAATCTAGTTCTCTTTGGGCAAAGGACAACAGCCTCCTCTCTATGGTACCTGGCCCAGATTCCCTGAGCCCTGTAACACTCGTCAAAGGAGACACTATGCCGTGAAACAAAAGGCTAAACCGATAGATACCGAGCCTTGGAGACCACCGAAGATACATTTGGAACACCTCAAGAAAAGAAAAGAATTCCCCAAGCTAAGAAATTCCTCTCAGTTAGCCAACATGTATTGAATCAATGCAAATAAAAACCATACTCAGAAATATTTCATATCAAGATATGTATTATATAGATTTACTTAAATCATTGAAACACTGATTTTTTTAACATGTGAAATAATTAATTAAGGTTTATTTATGTATTGGAAAATTCCATCAATTTTAATCTATTTTAACCAAACTGTTGTATCCAACTGAACAATATTTCAGTTTAACAAAAATTGATGTTTTACTAAACGATATACCTACCGGTATAGTAAAAAATATATTGCTATGTTCCTGGCCTCGCGTTTCTACGGAGAGTAAGGGGTTCCAGGAATCGCATTTATTTGTATTAAAATGTATTTCATACTTATATTTGTATTGAAATGTTAGATACCACAGACCCCCTACTGTAGTATCCTAGATTGAACCATATAATTTTTATTGGATTTCCTTTCTCTAAAGGTATCATGTTTTTAAATTTACCATTTGTTTCTACTACTAATTGGTGGCATGCAGGGTAGATGGTAAAAGTACTAAGATGGTTTACTAACTATTATATTTACAAGCTTAAATAAAACCAAAAACATCTATACACAAAATAATAACTAAACCTATATACATAATGAATAGTTGAGAATCATACTGGAGGAGAATGCTTGATGTTTGATTAAAGTTATATGTGTTATATTGATTATATTAATTAATGGTTTATGGTTGCCAACACAAGTTTACATTAGTATAACTAAATGCTTGTTACCACTTAGCTGGTCCTTCATAGTGAGGGGGGGTTGCAGCTGTTTCTAGCCGTCATATCTGGATTCCCTGTCTCTGCTCTCCTTCAGCGTCTAGTCCGTCCATCTGCTCTCTCCGGCTGTCTTCGTCTTCCTCCCTCGACTCCCCCGCTTGAAGTCTCCTCTTCTGAGTCCCAAAAAGAAGTGTCTTCCTCTGAGTCCCAAAAGGAAGTCTTCCGTAACAATTCTCTATTTCCCACCTTTCTTCATCCCCCTCTCTTTTGGTAGTCTTCTCTGATTGGCTGAATATTCCTAGCCTAAGGGATGACCACGCCCTCTCCCCCAGGCCAAGGTAAAGCAGCAGGTACCGATTTACGTATTTCTGGTGGAAGGTGTGAAAAGGTCTTTCGGGATCCTGTTTAAACACTCAGTTGTCGGTCTTGGTCGGTGGTTCTTAAGGGTTTTTATTACCACTTACAAAAGGTTGTCCTCGTGGGTCGTTACCCTCCCTCAGGTACCCAACCGCCAGATGTTAGCACTTCTGATGTTTATTTATTTATACCTTTAAACTAATTATTCCACCGGCGGTCTTTACAATACATAGCATTCTCCTAGTCTTGGGGAAAAGAAAAAATTAAATAAACTTGTTTATTTAATTTTTTCTTTAGATATTATTCATCGATACCTTTACAATAGGCTTCCTCTATCTGATCTCAGAATGAAAAGTAAACATTTATTTATAAACAATATAGGATGAGATTTAACTCAAATATACACAAATTTATACATTAACTACTAGAAATACTGAAAAAATATGCTTTTACACAACCAGCAATTCAATTTTACTTACATATCTCAAATTTCTCAATTCTGCAATATATCAATACCACTACTCGTAATTCTTTATAGTTTATCTCTCTGTTTAGTGGAACACAAAACATAACATAAATATACATTATGATATTAATTACAATAATGTTGAACCTTTCATTCAACTATGCTTCTTTCTTGTTTACTGAAATATCATTCAAACAACATTTTATAGTGTGATTGCCTTGACTATCTAACATTCACTTTATATTTACACTATTTCTATGATTTTTATTTATACTCTCAAAAAAGAGTCTTTAACAAAATGAGTCAAAACAGGAATTCATTTATTCCTCTGGTTCACTTATTGAAGGTTTGTTTATACACTGACTGTAATAAACACAACCTATATATTCATTTAGTATAACTACCTTGCGTGGCAACCGTTATAACAAAAACAAAAATTTTACCTTTGGTTTTTAAGTGGTTTGTACCAGCTTTTACCTTTAAGCTTTAATGTCATATCTTTGGTGTAGAAGCTCATAGTTGTTAGCAATATTGTTATTGCTATATAAATATATTGTTAGCAATACATAGCAATATTTTTACTAAACGATATTTCAGTTTACTAAAACATCATTTTTTTACAAGCCGGTATGTCGTTTTAAAAGAAAAAAAATTGAGGACGTTAACTTTTTTTTTCTTGGTTGATAGTGAAGATTGATTTATGAAAATAATAAAACAAAAATGTAAGTGGTTTCTTCCTAAATATATATATTTCAATAATGATTATATATGATTTATACTAGCTCAATATATAAAAACAACTAGAGGAAAAAAGAAATATTATATTTTTTATAAACATATCAATAATTATATTTAAATATTAATGACTTCTAAGGTGAGACAAAATTTTGTGAGATTCACATTCAAATAAAACATTGCTACAATTGTTCAAAGCCCATACAAAGTCAATAAAATCAATAAATTGTGTAATTGTTGTATTACTGAAAATTTATAAAAATGAAAAATTTAAATCCGAAAATAAATTGACGGATTTCGTTCATTTTTGCTTCAAACATTATGAATAAAATGTAGTTATTATAATATACAAAATATAAGATAAATAGCATCATAATTGAATAATATAAGATGTTAAGGATTTTCCCAATATATAAATGTCCAACTTTTGGTCATATTTAATAAATTTTTACCAACAAAACTGTTTGGAATCACTTGAAAATTTACTATAATATCTATTCCGTGGTACATACTCCCTTTTTATCGAAATATGAACATCCGCCTGAAACTTTGTAGATAGTTTCATTTCTTCGTAATCTCCAAATATTTTATTTACGAAAACTCTTGGAATTGGGGAATTTTTAATCTGGAAGGGGGCAAGCTTTGTCTATTTAATTAGTTACTAAAAATTCATAAATACCCTTTTGCTTTCAACTTGGATCGTAAGATAATTTGATCATAATGTCGATAAAAAAAAGGTGGCTTACAGAAATATTGAGCCGTTTGTCTTATATGACCCCGTTATTTTGAAAATTTGGGGGTGTAGATCACACCAAACGGATCAAAATATTTGAAGGCCGCATTTTTTCTCGTTTTTGTGATCAAATTATCTTACCTCAAGTAGAAAGCAAATGGGTATATACGAGTTTTTAGTACCTAATTAAATAGACAAAGATTCCCTCCTCTCCCTCCCCCCACTCCAGATTTAAAATGCCCCAATTACAAGAGTTTTCGTAAACAGAATATTTGTAGGTTATATTGAGATGAAAGTTTCTACTAAGTTTCAGGCGGATGTTCATAATTCGATAAAAAGGGGTCTGCACCATGGGCTAATAGCTCAAACCACAAAGAAGGTACAAATTTTAAAGTCATGTAGAAATTTCTATATATAGAAATTAGAAGTTTGGTTAATGTCAAGAGTTTTGCCTTAATCGAACTACTGTGGAACGCCGGAACATTTTCAACAGAAGATCACTAAAAACAATTTGGTTGAAATCTAATTCAATCTAATCTAATTCAATGACTTTGACCTTCTCCTTGTTATTATATCATTATTGATAGAATATATCACTTGAGAATTTTCTTTTAACTGATATCTTGAAAACTATAGAAGTGTGTGCAATAAATGCATTAAAAAGACGAAACACTTGACTTTAATTTCTGAAAAGGTTTGATAACTAAATTGAATCAAATTTGGAGGATGAGTCATTTACATATTTTCGCCTTTTGTCGGTGTGCCTGTCCTGTGAAAGAAAAGGAAAAAACAAAACAGAATTTTTTGTTACTTTTTTTTGTATCTTTTTTTTCCAATTACCGGCTACATTGCTATTTCTGGCATACAGTGGGAGGGGAGAGGGTTGCTCTGGAGGTACAGCAACAAAGGTCGAGATCCATTCAGTCTTTAATCAAAATCGTTAGAGCCGTTTTCGAGAAAATCGTAAAAATATGTTTAATCGACAATATATAGTGCCATTTCCGGTTTGCTGATTTTGAATGATAAGTTTCTGTAACGTACCAGGCATATACAAACCAGTATTTTATTATATTGATTTTAATGCATGCATCTGGCCGACAAAATGGCTTAAATTCAAATTCAATGTCCTCTAAAACATAAACAGACACCATTTAACCAGAATACTCATATTTCTAAGCAACAGCTAATCAAATATGGGCAAATGATACTATGAGTACTGGGGCACCAAGTATTTTACTCAAATACTGAACTTTTTTGAGAATAAAATATTTTAATTGCTTAATGTTAAGTTAAAGTCAAACAGTTAACTGAAGTAGTATTTTTTCTTTATTTGTTTATTTAGCCTCTACCCCTAAGGGTCATTGGCTTAATGTTTCCATTTTATATTCGTTGATAATAGTGAATATTCTTTAAATATTTGAACAGTTTTTCTATTTCATTCTCCCCATCTTGCAGAATTTCTTTCATTTCCGTTCCCATTTGAAATTTTTTTCTTATATTAGTGAACCTTCTGCATTCTAATAATATATGTTTTACTGTTCTGGGTACTAGGCAATTTGTGCAGGTTGCAGCTTCTAATCCTCACAGGAGGTATCCATGGGAAAACTCACAGTGCCCAATTCTTAGCCGACATAATATCACTTCTTCTCGTCTAGACTTTCTGTTTGATGTGTTCCATTTTATACATTTGGTTTTTATTTCCTGAAGTTTTGCCGAACTCATTTCCCATCCAACGTACCAAGTAGTAATTGAATTCCCAATAGTGATTCAATTTGAGTAAAATACTTGGTACTCGGAACTCGGAGTAGCATTTGCCCATTTCTGGAGACAATGTCCAAGGAACCTTTACTTGTGGCTTAGTGTGTGGCGTCGCTTCATTCGAGAATGTTAAAGTTTACGCTTCAACACACTCGACCATCACGAGCTCTCATAAGTTTTATCTGTTATCAATTTTTTGTTTCTATTATTTCTTAATGATATTTACAACTGTATCAAATGAATACATCTAGTAAATTTGAACATATGGATATAATGACATGAAAACACTTGCTGAGTAACTACCCAATGGTAACACCCTAATGCTATCAAATAAAATTATTTTTGAGGAGGACTATAAGAACAATTCATTTAGGTAGCGTCACTGAAATAATAAACTTCATTCTCCTTACAAAATTAATGTTTCAAATTAACATAAAAAACATATGAGTTCTTAAATACAGTTTTCATAATTATAATCAATCAATCCTCTCAACCTCTTCAGAGGTCACAGCAAATCGAAACGTAGGGGTGGGGTAGAGATTCAGTCATGTTCGAAGCTTTGTACGCTGTGGTTGTCGTCTTCCTTGTAGATAGATAGAAGATAGATAGAAAAAAAAAACTTTATTCTGGGACTAAGTCCCTTCAGAATAACAATAATGTACAAAATAATAGAATATTACTGGCCTGAACGTTGAAACAATAAATGAAATTGATAAAATAAAATAAAAAGTAAAGAAAACCTTAGGTGCACAAGCTATATACAATACAGATACTACTATGTACAGAGCATTTAAAATTATGAATAAAACAATTAAAACTATGAACGAATCATTTGAACTATGAACAAAATTATATTTCAGGGTTGCACAACATATATATATACAATATATATATGAAAATAAACAGTTACTTATAATTGAATAAAAAAAAAAATACAAAAAAATGTGTGTGTTGAAATTCCTACGTCGATAGTAGGAAATGCATGTACTATCTCTTACCAAGTGTAATGATTATATGATTGCTACACAATACATATATAATATTAATCGTTAGCTGGTATCTGACTGTTTTTGGAACAGGAATTGGAATAGGAGGTTTTTGAATGTGTACAGGGAAAAGGCATGTCGAATTTTGATCGGGAGGGAATTCCAAAAGTTGACAGAGCGGGCTATAAAGGAATTTTGGAATGAGGCAGATCTATGAGAAGGGATGTATAGGTCAGAGGGTCGGGATCTTGTAGTGAGTGAATGGATTGAGGACTTAAATTGGAGAAGGTTGTAGGCATAAGAAGGACGATGATCGGTAATGATTTGATAAAGGAAAGTGCCAAGGAAATATTGTCTTCTTAAGGAGGGGAAGAGCCACCCTAACTCAGTGTAGTGGTGGGAGACACGGGAGCGTCTCGGGGTTCCGATTACAAATCTTACGAAGCAATTCATAAGTCTTTTGAGTCTATCACGCAGTTCCACCGAGAGGCCATCGTACACCACACAGCTGTAGTCAAAGTGGGGAAATATGAGAGAGGAAACTAGGAGTCTACGGGTATTTTGGGGTAGAAGATGGCGGAAGTGATGGAATAGTTTGAGGGTAGAAATTGTACGGCGGGATATATGAGAGATATGGTGATTCCAGGAAAGGGTTTGATCTATGAGAAAGCCTAAATTTTTAACAAAGGGATAGAAGGTGATGGGGTGGTTGTTTAGATAGAGTGAGGGAAAGTTGGTGTGGGATCTAAGAAGGGGCTTGGAACCAATGAGAATGGCCTGAGTTTTGGCCGCATTTAGCCTTAATCCATTTAAGTTGGCCCAGGCATTAATTCGATCTAAATCTTCTTGAATTTTGGCAAATGCCACCAATAACTCAGCGGGAGAAAAGGATAAATAGATTTGAGAATCGTCGGCATAAAGGTGGTGGGAACAATGGATAATTGTATCATTTAGGTCATTAATATAAGAACTGAAAAGAAGAGGAGACATGCTTGAACCCTGTGCAACTCCTGAGGATAAAGGAAGGTAGGCAGATAGAGGTTGATTAGGTATGGAAACTGCTTGGGTTCGTTGTGAGAGGAAAGACTGGAACCAAGAGATGGAACTCTTGGAGAAGGATAATGATTTTAGTTTGTTGAAAAGGATGGAATGGATAATGGAATCGAAAGCTTTAGAGAAATCAAGAAGTATAAGAATGGTTAATTTTTTATCATCTATTGCAGTCTGGATATCACTAGTAATTTTAATCAGAGCAGATTGTGTAGAGTAGCCAGGACGGAAGCCAGATTGGAGAGGATCGAGTTGGTTGGATTGTTCAAGGAAGTTGGAAACTTGGGATTGCACTAACTTTTCTAGGGGTTTAGAAAGATTGGAAAGGATTGATATTGGGCGGAAATCTTCGGGAGAGGATGGATTAGGCTTTTTGTTTAAAGGAAGGACAATGGCTTTTTTCCAAGAGGTCGGGAATATTGAATTCTGCAGGGAGAAATTGTAGATGAAAAGGAGTGCTGGGAGGATTTCAGGGAGACATAATTTTATTAGTTTGATAGGAATGCCATCTGGGCCTACGGAATTGGAACGGGATTTCATTATAACGGTAATAAGGTCTGTGGGAGAAATGTCGGAAAAATAAAAATTATTGTCGTTAAAAGGTACCTCTGGAGAAAAGCCGGAAGGGGATGGTAACGAAGAGGTGGAAACCGATATAAAGTGGGAGTTTAGGTCATCAGGTGATATTGGGAAAACTGAGGAAGGGGATCTAGAAGGTTCACAGAGGGAAAGCTTACGAAGTAGAAGCCATTTTGATTTGATATCAGGAGCTGAGGAAAGGGCTTCGTGAAAGTAGTTCGCTTTCGCTTGTCGGATCCTTGTCTGTGTCGTGTTGCGAAGCATTCTGAATATTTGATAATCATCTGCAAGCCTAGTCCGTCTGAAGCGTCTGCGTGCAGCGTCGCGTCTCTTCTGCAGATCCTTAATTTCCTGACACATCCAAGGAGCAGGACGATGACGGAAAGTGGAGGTTTTGAGAGGAGCGTGGGTATTGAGTATATTGAGAAGATTGGTGGTGAGAATATCAACCATGGTGTCGACAGAGGAGCAATGATATATTCCATTTAAATCCAATGTTACTAGATCAGGTAATATTTTTTCTCGAGTAAGGGTATCCAGTTGGCGGAAAGTGATAGTTCGAGGATGGATTGGAGGAGTGCGGATATTATACGTTATTTGTATCAGATCATGAGATGAAAGAAAGGATACTGGCACTTGAGAGGCGGAGAGGAGGTTTTGTGCTGAGTCGATGATGTAGAAGTCTAGCCAAGTGTCAGATCTGCTGGTGTGGTGGGTGGAGGAAAAAGGAACGATGAATAGGTGAAGTGAGAAAAACAGATTTTCTAAATAGGATTTGTCATTGGATTTTGAGAGGAAATTGGTATTGAGGTCACCGGAGATAATTATTCTGGGATAGAGGGGAACGAAGTTGAATAGAGTTGATTCGAAGGACGGGTCAAATGGCACGAGAGGAGGGCGATATACCACGGCGTAAAGGATAGGAGAAATATTACTGAGAATTTCTACTAAGAGATATTCTACATGAGGATGATCGGAAGATGGGGAGCAATCGAGGATTCGGGTCTTTAGGCTATTGTGGACAAACATGGCTACTCCACCGCCAGTCCGGTTTACCCGGTCATGACGGAGCAGGATGTAATTCGGCAAGGATACTGAAGATGATGGAATATAAGGTTTAAGCCAGGTTTCGGATATTGCTATGATATGATAAAAGTTTTGGGTAAAGTATTGCAGGAATTCGTCATAATGGGCAGAAAGTGATTGAGAGTTAACTTGACATGTGATTAGGGAACTAGACATACAGTGGATTTGGAGAGAAACAGTCAGTGTTTGGTAGCGAGAAGACAAAACGAGTAGAAAGTACAGAAAAGCGATTATCGTACATGAAACTAAGTGAAGAAAAAGTAATATTAACATTAAAAATAAATAAAGAGAATGTACTTGAAAATAAATAGATTGATGAGTGACGGTGTAGAGATAGCACTAAGAGAAGAAGTAAGACTATTTTAATGAGGCTAAGGGGTTGACGGCTTCTAGGTAGTCAGTCAAATACATCTAGATCCGAGGCCTGTTCTATCAGGATGACTCTATGTCCGTCCTCTTTTCGACACCGCACCTTTCCGGAAGCAAACCACGTATATTTGATTTTTCCCGCCGCTCTCTTCTGCCGGGCTAACCAATAGAGGTGTCTGTTTGTGCGAGTCATCTCTTCACCCAGATAAATTCGGTGGCAGTCATTTTCCTGCCAACCGATATCCCGCGTGGAGAAATCCCTCTTCACTTTCCTTTTCGTAATTAAGTCATCTCTAATTGATTGCCTGACAAAACGTGCGATAACAGGCGGTGGTCGCGAGTCATCTTTTCGGCTTCTGCGGCGATGTACGTTGTCCAGGTCCTCCACACTAAGCCTGATCCCCAAGCTTGCTCCTATACTGGTCACCAAAGCAGCGGGCGTTTCGCCCGGTCGCTCCGGTATACCGCGGATCTCCAGTGATCTACTCAATAGTCCTTGCTCTGCGTTATTCAAGCGAACCTCTAATTCGCCCACTCGGGATTTGAGTGCTTTATTTTCTAATAGTATCTCCTCAAATTTTTTAGCTTGACCTTCCAGATGTTTTTCAATCTTCGTCAGTCTTTCGTTTAGTTCAAAACTGAGCTCTCCGTATTTATCTAGTGCTGTTTTCATGTTTTTTATATCTTCGTTCACGGTAGCGTCTAAACGGTTTACTGCCGCAAGTATTTCTGAGGGGGACGGCTCGTTATTTTGTTTTTTCACCTGTTCGCAGTTAGAGCAAACCCATGTTTTTTTAATTATTTTTAATGCTTCGGAGTCTTTATCAGTAAGGTTGACGCACCTACCATGAAAAATTATTTTACACTTAACGCAGTGTATATTGTTCTTATCTTCGCGTGCGATAGAGTTGTTGCAAATATTACACTGCACCATTTTTTAAATTTATTAATGAGAATTACTTCGCAATTAAAATATAAATAAATACCAAGACTGTTGACGGTAGTAAACAACGTCTAATGCTGGTCTAATGCTGTTAGGATTAGTAGACGCCTGCCAGCTCGTTGCTCCCAGAACTCTATCAATCTCGCTGTGCTTTCTTTACTCCGATTGGTGTGAAGATCCGACACTTAATAGCGTGATTAATTATAGTGGTTTTTTGAAAAAGAGAAAAGGAAAAAAAAAACTGAACTTAACTGCACTGAAATATAATTGAAGTAAACTGAGAGATTATATGAACGAATTACACCGATGTACACACCAGGGCGTCTCAGGCCAGAACTTGTAGGATTGATCCTGAAGAAATGGTGGGACCAGAAGATTCCTGGACCGAGAGGTCTCCCGATAATGGGAATAGCTTTAGAGCTGGCCCAAATACCACCAAGAGGTGAGCGAAAGTCCATCAAATAATAAATAATAAAATATGATTTTGGATGTAATGCCAAAAATTGAAGTGTTGAGTAAAATTTAACGGATGAATAATTGTTTAACAGTTATCTTTATAGTATTGTTACCTTTATTAAAAAAAAAAAAATCAATTTGACAAAAAAACAAAAACAATTGTTGATAATTAATTAATCATACATTAAATAATTGTGCCCTGCTAATCCGAAGGAAACAATAAAACTCGTAATATTTTTCACTAAATTACAATACACGTTTCGCTATTTCAAATTTGGTCATTTTCAAATTGCCTTATGGGCATTTTCTTATTGTTAAATAAATTAAAGCAGCAATCTGTTTGAAATTGACCGAAAATGAAAGGCCAAGACCTGAAATATAAATTTTATAATGTGATTTTTATTTTCAAGAATTTTATTGTTCCCTTAGAATTAGCACTGGATACATTTTTAATCTGTGTTTAATTAATTACTAAACAATTTTCATTAAAATGACATATTTAATAAAAAGTATGAAAACAATATTTTATTTTTTTTTTTAATTAAATTTATGTTTAACATATATCATCACGAATTTCCTCATAATTTTATATGAAACCGCCAAAAATTAAAAAAATACTTTAAGTATAATAAACTTTTCTTTTTCAGTATTTTAAACTCAAATCTATTTAAACATTTAAGAGACGCCAATGAGTTATGTGAACCATCTAAATTAAAAATAAGTTCGTTCAATAATTCGTTACATAGTAATTAACAGACAGATTGGACATATTTCTTACAAGAATTTGTCAGTGTCTGAGCACAAATTGTTTTAAAACATTCACTGGATCTCACCGAATAATTTGATCCATCGGACTTGAAAGCTGTCGTACATACAAGCTGTCAGTCCAAACACACAGACCTACTTGAGTTTTTTTCGTTGGCTGGTAAAAAATATACTACTATTAGATTACGAAAGACAATGTTTTTTTTTGTTTTTTTTTTAATACGAGTATATTCTTGAAAATTCAAGGTTTTATTTCTTTATTTATTTTTATTCTTATAAAGATAATTGCAAATATTATTGAGTGTTTTGTTTACCCATCATGAATGAATGCATGATGCGTAAGAGACAGGCTGATAATGAAATTGTCTATCCAATCCTTCATATCAAATACTGCAATTTGTACGTTGGCGTGATTTAAAATACGGTTGAATTCATTGTACATTTGTTGTTGATTATATAAAAATAGCAAACGCAGGCCTCCAAGGCTATATAAGAATCCTTTAGAAAAAGAAATAATAAATACAAACAATATAGCGTTCTGGTTCGTAGCAGTTTAAACTTCAACCTAAAAAGCTAAAGAATTATTGAAGCATTTTATTGAAAAAATGATCTATAATTAGTAATTCTATATGAATAATATATTTCATGATGGATGGCTGTGATATAATTGCTCGTCATAAAGCATTCCAAAATGGTCCACACGCTCATGCATAGCGTATGGAAGAATTAGGGTAGAGGAAGCTATGGGACGACCTAGTTGGGAAATAGGCAGAATTTAGGGTGCTGCAAATTTATACGAAATTTTATTTGTTTCTGCTTTTTGATTGTTTTGACTTTTATTTAATCAATGAAATTAGCCATTGTTAAAATAACGACGAGAATAAAAACCAGTAATACAATAACGATTCGATCTGTAACGAAAACTAAATGCTACTCGTAAATCTGATCGTAGTCACTTAAGTTAATAAGTGATCTTAAAGAAAATAATAAAGATAAAAGCTATTGACACAACATAATAGTTTGACAAAATAAGTATTTAATAATATTCAATATTATCCTATAAAAAACAAATAAAAAATAAAGTGTATTTTTTCAAGCCCTGTAAAGTTTAAAAGTTCTCAACAATTTAATTCTTAAAATACATCAGGTAAAAAATAGAGATATCCATAAAAACGAATTCGTGTGAAACGGATGTTATTGAAAAGATTTAGGTAGAAAAACTTAAAATAACGAAATATCAGTAGAAAGCTAATCAACTGTAAAAGATAAATTTGTTATCAGTTTGAAAAAAAAGTGATAATGAGCTATTTAAACAAAAATAAATTATTAATATATTGTGCCAGTTATCGCTCTATAATCTCATTTTATTTTAACCTCTACTATTAATAGATAACTGGTCCTCCCGAAATAAATCGAATTAAGATTAATTTCACGATGAAAATGTATTATGAAGTTATACTATGCTGAAAAAAACAAACCAGTTCCGTGTTAATTTTAATTACTGTATATAAATATATACAAAATTATTTATATAATAGTAGTATAAATAGAAAATGAACTTTATTCTGGGACGAAGTCTCCTTAGAATAATAATAATGGACCATTACAAAAGAAAAAATATATATCTGGCCTAAAACTAACTTAATAAAGATTCAAATATTATATACAACAATTTAAATAATAGTATGTAAACAACCAAAAAATAAAATAAAATCTTTACAACAATACTTATAGTTGAACCTCCATAAAAGAAAAAATATCAAAAGTAAGTAAAGAAAAATTATTGACTTTTATGTTAAAACATACAGAACATATACATAACTTAAAGATATATTAATGGCTGAAGACGAGCAACGGGATCACACTAATCATTTTCGCGGCATAAGAGAAATAAAAAAGAATAAGTAGATAAATACTGTTGGAAAGGGCATTAAATCAATTTTAGGAGAAAATCATTGCAGCGACAAAAGGAAAAAAATCCAAGCAAAAAATTAATTATTTATATATGTTAGAACTTAGAATGACAACCCGCAATGGTATTGTAAACTATATACAAAAACGGATATTAAGATGGGGAAAGATGTACATATATACAAATTGAGGAATGTAAAAAATTAAATACATTTCAATTAAATAAAATCTTGTAAACAGAAAAAAAATGGATTAAAACAACAAACAATTTCTTCATCACAGATATGTATAAAAAGTGATTCTAAATCTTTTCCAATTCATAAACAACAAACAAACAAAAATAAAATAATGGTGTATGAAAAGAAAAAAATAACATAAATTATCCTTGTTACATAATACATAATTAGCCAACATCCGATTGGATTGTGAAGAGGAATTTTAATAAGAGGTTTTTGATTGCGGATAATGATGGTGCATGGCGGATTTTAAGCGGGATGGAATTCCAGAAAGTGGTGGAACGGACAATAAAGGAGTGTTGAAATGAAACAGATCTGTGGAAAGGGATTTAAATGTCTTGTGGAAACGGAACGGACAGATGATTTAAGTTGGAGGAGACTGTATACATAGGACGGGCTATGATTGTTACTTATTTGGCAAAGGAATGGTCCAAGGAAGTATTGTCTTCAGAAGGAAGGGAAGAGCCACCCTAACACGGCATAGTAGTGGAAAACACGAAACGTCTCGGGGTCCCTTTGACAAATCTTATGAAGCTATTCGTAATTCTTTTTATTCTGGCCCCGAGTTACACCTGGAGGACACGCAGTAAACCACGCAATCGTACTAGATAACGTATCTCGTAAACTCTCTAACAGGATTCAATGAACCAAGATCGTTATCTTCTTTAACGTAAATTCTTTGAACTAATAATAATTTGTAACACAGTTTAGTATAAGTAGCTCTAAAATGAGAGATTACAAATTAAAAGAACTATTTGTTTTAGCTCTTGCGATTTTTCTTTATATTTTAAGGTCAATAAAAGCTTAAGTGCACTCTGTACTTTGGGAAGTTCATATTATTCATTTCCCAAAAATCCTTCTAAGTTTAATAAAATTTTTGAAGTGCATTATAAACGGGGATAAGGCTTAAAGCTTACAGAAAACAAATCATTAAGACCATTAAAATAACAAAATGTATATTTATTATATTGACGGTAGGCAATAAAAATCTGATTACTCCATCTTCTTTTATAAACCACACAATTTCAGTCTCTGAACCTTTCAGTTGAAAGAATGACTAGCTCCAATTTCTAAAGTTTTAAGTAATGTCATTTTAGTGATATTTCTAGTTGAAAAAGTTATCAATACAGACAGTGAATAAGTTGGTTCTATTTTTTTTTTTTTTATCTAGTTTGTAATTATGACATTTTTTCAAACTTCGTGTTTTTCCAGTTTTTATAGCTACTGTCAATAAAACAGAGTTGATTTTTTTAAATAAACCTTATTAAATGTACTTTAGGGAAAGACACATATCAACATTGAGCATTTAATCCCTGTAAAGAGGCATCAAAGGGGATACGACCTCAATGATATTTAATACCACTTAATTATACAATGCTACACGGAGTTTAATCAAAATCGTTAGAACCGCTTTTGAGAAAATTGTAAAAATGTGTTTCACCGTTGATATAAAGTGGAACTTCCGGTTAGCCGATTTCAAGAAAAAGTTGCTGTAACATCTCAGTCATATACCTATCTTAAATACGTAATATCAGTTTCGTATGTATGGCTTTTTGTTTTTGAGCTAGATTGTTCGCATAAAAACATACACAGACACACTTTGCGGGATTTGGTTATTTGGACTTAGGTGACCTCAACACCTTTTGGTTATCTATAGGTAGAGATCTGGTGTTAAGAGAGTGGATAGAGGAACATAGAGTAAGGAGTTCTTGTATGTAGGGAGAATTTTTGGTTCTGAGGAATTGGATACCGAAATGTATTTCCGTTGAAAACACAGCATCGAAAATTTTCACGATTGCAATAATTCACCTTACTTATATTACATATATAGGTAAGTGAAAGTAAAAACACAAATATATACAGAAAATGCTGAAAAAAAGTACATAAATAAAAATAAAATCACTCTTATAAATTAACTGCTGGCGATCAGCGTAATTACATAATCCAAAAATTCTTACAAGCTTGCATCTATTGACTATGTAATTGGTGGTGGAAAAGAAGTTGTTTGAAGGAATTTATGGACGTATAGAGATGGGCTAGGAGTTCGAAAAAGAGGTAGCAGGAATGATGAAGGATTTGCTGAAGGAAGTGGTTCTGCAGGAAGGGATATATAGATATATAGGTAGAGATCTGGTGTTAAGAGAGTGGATAGAGGAACGTAGAGTAAGGAGGTCTTGTATGCAGCGATGATTTTTAGTTCTGAAGAATTGGAGTGTACAAACAGGAAACATGGAGAACACCTGGAAATCCCAAAGATGAATTTATGAAGTAATTCACAAAACTCTCCAGTCTCGCCTCTTTAATACCTTGATACCTCTGGAGAAAATAGGAGAAGATCCCAGGAGCTAGAATTGAATCCTCTGGGAATATTGCAACTAGGAGTGACTTTGGTCCTCCTGGTCTATTGAATCTCAGGGTACCGGGGGCTGCTGAGCATATTGTTCTGATTTGTACCACATAGGAGTTATTGAATGCAAAGATGTTGAGGGAGACTGAACTCTTTGTTCTAATGGAGAGAAATCTTTTTCAACTAATGTCCAAAGAGAAATTTATGCTCCAAAACATTCATAAATAGGTGGAAATAAATTGATGAAGAGGAGGAGTCACATCTGGGAGGTAGCAGAACCATATAGAAGAGAAGAAAAGAGAACAAGGCTAAACTGAAAAGAAGAACAAGCTGTGTTCCAAGGAAAAAATACGTTAATTGTTTAAAAATATAGCAATGGGTTGCTATATGCAGTAAAATCCCACTACTGTAAATACCTGTATTGCTTAAGCGGCAACATAAGGAATGAGATATAAAAGTTCTTTATAGCTCAAGAACAGGTCCAGATAAATGATATTCAATAAAAATGCTGCAATTGACCACTGCAGTTTGATCCTCTGGGCACCTGTAAACTGAATTCTGAATAGAAAAAGTCAACGTAATATGAATATGAAAACTAATAATAGTAATGAACAATTTTCTACACCTCTTTTTGATGTATTTTCAGAGAAAACATAAACACAACATAAATGACTTCACCTATGAGAATGCCTTGTTTTTACTTTTGCACAGGTTATTGATTTTTTGTTTTCATTTGAGTTATCACTTTTTAGTACCTGTGAGTGAGCACACAATGAAAATGTAAAATAATTTTCATCTATATGTAGATGTTTGCTGTACTTGTGTTCACAGACTTTATTCATTCAGTGGACTGCCAGATGAATGACAAATTGTCTCTTGGATTTGAATTTTGATCATGATGGATTAGTGATATCTTGGTAGTATTCATAGACAATAAACAGGACGAAGCTCAACACAAGTTTTTTTTTTATAATATTATTAATTTTTAATAAATAATTTCTTTTTAAGCCGCTAAAATGATGGGACAAGAAAAGCTCAACAACCTATGCCCAACCAATCAGTTCAGATTAAAAATATTAATTACATGGGTATAAAATAAAGTCAATATCATAGACTAAAATTGAATATGGAGCATTTGGCTTTCTGGTTTATTTTCCAAATATGACTTGTTTATTTTTAATATCATTATTTATTTAAGAAAGTTTTTAATTACAGATATATTTGCAAAAATCGATTCCCTCAGACAAACCTATTCAGGAATTTTCGAAATGAAAATTATGACAGATTCTTATGTAATGCTAACTGATCCAGAATCAGTTGAGGTAAGTTATGTCTTCATCAAATATAAAAGTGCATAATTTAGCTGCAATATTGGATTTTAATATAATTTTATGATCTTTCAATAATAGAACATTGTTTTCCTAATAAATATTTTTTTTTTCATGGACATTAATTTTAAATGTGTTAAGTTTCACAATTTAACTCAAAATCTATTTTACTAAATAAACTTCAATATAGATAGATAGATAGATACAAAATAATTTTATTCTGAACATAACAGAATGTCACAGAAAAAAATATGTAGTTCTGTTGATTCATTTTCTTTAGATAAAAAGACCAAAATAAAAATAGTGTAATTGCAGCCAAAAGAAGACAACCTGTTTCATTTTTAAGATTAAAGGATATGAGAGCTCTTTTTCCCTTGAAATAGAAATAAATAATATTATTACAATTTTATTGACCCCATTTTAATCTATATTTTAATCTTTTCCAAATATAGTTTAGATTTTTCAGATGTTTTCCCTTGAACCAAATTTCTTAAATTAATAAATTCATTAAGTTAAAATTATGAATTTTATTATTGCTTATTTAAGTAATAAATTCCACTTCAATAACGGGATCTGTATAAAAGACAAAATCGTTCCCGAGAGTAAAAAAATTCAAATACCTTGGTGCCAAAATGAATGACCAATGGTTGGAAATAGACCAGCTTATAACAAGTACAGAGTTTTCTTCTCCCTTTCAAAGGTAATGAAATCCTAAAAAATCTCAAGATTTTTCAAATTATGGGTGTACAATGCTATGATAAAAACAGTTCTAATATATGGCTATGATACCTGGACACTAACCAGTCCTCCAGAAATAAGCATTCAAAGTTTTGAGAGAAAAATCCTTGGCATGATAACCGAAGTGATCTGGGATCAGAGTACTAACACATGGAAAAGATTACGTATCATTGCTTTGAAAAGTTTTTTTAAAAAGCACTAATAAGTAAAATAGATATTTAGAAAATTTTTCAATAACAAAATTTTGATTTTTTAAAAATATTACCAGATATATATTTCTTGTAATGAAGTGATAGCTAGTTATTATTGTATTTATGGTAATGGTATAGATGTGCGTTCATGCACCAAAAAAATAAATAACAGGCAATAAAATAAGATTAATAGATGGTTCTGTAACCAACTTGCACAAGTTCCAAAAACATAATCAATGAAAAATAAAACTGATAGATATATGAAAAATATATTTGCTAATTTTGAACCTAAGACAAAAGAAATAGGTAATGATTTATTAATTAATAATGAATTAATTATGTTACAATTACTTTGAAGAATTTCATTTGATCAATCTTGATGAAGAATCCATTGGCATTGCTCTGTTTTTTTTTCTATCTTCTGTTTGATACTGAATAAAGAAATATTACCACATCATCACAGAAAAAATGTTAAAAAATCTTTTTTTTGATAACTGAAAAAGGATAACAACAAACTTGAAATAAATAAAAATATTTGAATGATCACACTATCTTACGTTATCTAATGTTGAAAACATTATTACACAACTACAAATTATCTTCACTTAAAAAACGGTTCAATTTCCACTGTTATCATTTTATTTTGCAATGAAAATTTTTAAATTCCATATTATTATAAACACACAACTATTATATTATTAGAATGATTAAAATGTTAGCAATATGCTATACCTATTTATGAATGTTTATTATTTTGTTTTTAAATCTCTTTCAGCCATTGCTTAGCAGCTCTAAACATATCAAGAAGGGTATATTTGATTATAAATTTTGGAGACTATTCCTTGGGGACGGTCTTCTACTTAGTGATGGTGAGAACCAAAATTAACAATTATTCATTTTCTATCAAAAATGCATCAAAATACATATATTTTTTTTTATAAAATTAAAAGAAAACATTAATGGGGAAAAAAAAAAAGAAAATACAAAATAACTATGGCACTACTTTTAATGAGTACCCATAAGGGTGGAACGAAAAACAGTATTTTTTTTGTGAAAACTTTCTAATAATTTAATACCATTAAAAAAATTTTACATGTTTTTAATTTTGATTAACATATTAATGATTAACAAAACTATATCCCTAGGAGCTAAGTGGCATCACAGAAGAAAAGTGCTCACTCCAACTTTTCACTTCAAGATTCTTGAAGATGCAATGACCAGTTTGGTAAAAAATGCACAATCTCTTACAGAACAATTTCTAGATACAGAAGGCAAGCCTACCGATGTTGGAAATATTATTAGATCATCTACCCTCAAAGTCATATGTGGTAAATTTGGTTTATTCACAATTAAGACAACTAATGAGCTAAATTTCATGTAAATGTATAAGTTGTTTCTTGAACATTTTAAGAACTACTGTACTATTATTGAACTATCATTGATAATATCATTCCCATTAAATTTAAAATATCCACAAAAAGATAAATGATGATTTTTCATTTGGAACCATAATAGTTGCTATGTTTTTGTTTCTTCATTGCAACCCCAACCATATTTTCTTATACTACATTAATGCTCAATGATATCTTCCTAATTTAAAAATCGACTACACACACAGATATACACCTACATATATATAATATAGTTACATTCCTTTTCAAACTCTCTTGAGCAATGGATTTTGATGGATGAGGTGTCAAAATAAAAGGAATTTGATATAGAAGTAAAAACTCTGGTGGTAGATTATTTGGATATTTTTGAGATAACGCACAGGATCACTGTAACTCTAGCAATAACCTTTAAAGACACCTAGATATGTTTTAGTGATATGGCGATGTACTTATATAACTATCTATTGCATTATAGCCCACCTAGCAAAATAATCCTATGCCTCAACTTCAGATTTTCTCTATTTGAAGCTACCTTATTATGATAGAAGAAGAGAAACACACCAAAAGAAAATTAATGTAGTTAAAACTATAAATATTTATTTATAACTTTTGGATTCTTTTATGAAAACATAACAATTAAAGTGTAATCTCTGTTACTTTGTTTTAGAGACAGCAATGGGTGTAAAACTAAATACAGATGATGAAACACAAAATAAATATGTAGAGGCAGTTAAGAGGTAAATTTTTGCAGTTTCTTTTGAGGTAAATCCACTGTATTAAAATCATTGATTTATTAATATGTTAAAAAATATTCTTATACCTTTATTCGATAAAAATTTCTTAAAAATCTTTTGATGATAGTACCGCTTTAATATTTAAAATAAATTTTCTCATTATATAAATATGTACACCTTTTTTTTTTTAATATTATATTAGAATCCTGATACTCTGCAAAAGTAAAATAAGGACTAAAAATATAAATAAATAAATTATTCTCTATGAGGTAATTAAATTGAAATATGGCAAGAAGAGAATATTTTTCTTTTTCTTTTACTTTCTTATAGAGTATTTTAATTTTCTGAACTCCAAGTCATTTCAGTTACTTATTTCTGCTACTAGACTTTGCACATCTTTATGATCTGATTTTCAACTTGTTTAACCAAAGTAGAACAAAGAATCATTTCTCATTTGTTTGAGTGAATATTGTCTAATTCTGATATTTCAAGGAGTATAATTCAACACTGAAAAGAGTATAATGGTACTTTCTTGGAATAACATATAATAGTTGGAAGTAATCTGAAGTCAATTGAAGAACCATTTAGAAACATTGACCAAAGATAACTCCATATTTCAATAATCCAATACTTCTATTCATTTTTTTTTATACTTACTGAAACCTATTATGTACCAAATAAATATTTGGGAAATATTAATCTTTTGGAATAATCAGAGAGACCTCCTGATTTGAACATATGTGGTTTCCTATCATCTCTACAAAGGTTCTATTTAATTCTTGAATGAACAAGAAATGAAGAATATGATTGTAAAATAGTGGAAAACATCCTCTGTCTATATTATTATCTTCCAAATCAAATAATAGCAGATAATAGCAGTGTTCGATAAATGTGTGGCCTTTACTGAATATTAGTTGAGGAAATGTTTGTGGATAAATGTATGTTAATATTTTTTTTACTTTAATGTAACACGAATGTGCTCTTTTTTTTATTCCACACTGCATCACATCATTCAATTTTTGTTTTTACATATTTGACCACTTTCTTTACTTTATTGTAAAAAAAAAAAAAATTGAGTATATGAATAAAAACTAATACTTGCCTATACTGGAAAAAAATGTGGCCCATCTCTGTGTTTTGGACTTAACTATGATCATTTAAATTTTATATTTCTTTTAGAATCCCAGAGGCAATAATTCTAAGATACCTCAAGTTCTGGTTACATAGTGATTTTGTGTATAATCTAACAAAAGATGGAAGAAACTTTAAAAAAGACCTCAATCTTGCTCATTCATTCACTAAAAAGGTATTTATATTTGTTTAAAATGTTGGTTTTTCTTTTAATTTCTTGATGAGATGTTTGCACACATAAAACTGTGGGACCATCTGGATGTGTATTTTTACATCCTCATCTTATTTTATTCATGACAGATCTGTATTTACAGTTCTCCATTATATTAGTAAATATACTTAGATAATTAAAAAAATGGAAGTAAAATACTCAAAAAATTAAGGATTCTCAGATAAGGGAAAAAGAAAATTATTTCAAGTTATGCAGCAACTATTATCATAAATAATATGTTAATATAAATAAGTAAAAAACGCAAGATGCCTGAATTGGCGAAATATTGATGGTTTTTTTTTCTTTGCCTTCATTTTCGAGGCATAAGGCTTTTCGTTTGGATTTTTTCCAAACATAACCTAAAATAAATAAATATATAATTTTAAAAGCATTTTCTCAATTATGGTATGTAATTGATTTATTGGAATATAAAATAAACTTTTTGAAATCTATATTTCTATAAAATATATAAAAGATGTATTTATTGGACCATAATTGATAACTATTTCTGCAATAAATAATAATAAGAATATTTAATAATATTTTCTGACAAATTATTTTTACTTCAACATTAATAAACTAATATCTGAATAAACTATTTAATACTAAATAATATTTGTTTCCATTTATAATTTTATTTTTAGATTATAAGTGAAAGAAGAATGCTTTACAAGAACCAGAAAGCTGACAATTCTGAAAATAAAAGTAAGATGAACATTTATATGAAATTACCTAATATATTGTCTTACTAATCAAGTGTTCAAATCAGATATATTAGCTATTGATATTGAGGCTATATTAGTATTGTGATCTACTTGTAAATGATACTGGTAATGATCTACTGATCTACTAGTAAATTGGCCATGGTCGATAGATAGCCATTTCATACAATTGTTTTTTTTTTTTCATTTATTTTTTTTTTTTTTTTTTTTTTTTTGTTCTTCCTTACCTCGCTTTTTAGGCTATACAGGATTTTCAATGGCCGGGGGGTGAGGGCGGGGATTTTAAAATCCCCTCCGGCACAGGGAAGCGAACTCGTACTTTTTTATATCTTCTCAAATCTGTAATCCGGTTGCCAGGCAACTCGCGGTGCTGTGCACACGCTTTAGCCCATTCGGCCACCCCCCCCTTAAATTAATTGTACCTACCACTAAAATTATATTTGAAATACTATAGGAAGTCTGAATCTGATATTACTGACCAGAGTTGTTGATCTTCCTATATTTTCCGGGACAGTCCTGTTTTTTAACCCCTGTTATCTTGTCTCCTCCTGGCCCTCATCATGGATATCCATTTTCCCCTTATTTTGATGATTATTCAGGCTAAAAACATAAGTAATATTTTACAATATTGATTACAATAACGGGTGGGTTTGAGAGTTTTTGTGATTGGCAGTGAAAATGCCAAAAACTTAGGTTTTACAGAGTTTTTTTTTTTTTAAATACCTTTACTTGGTTGTTTTACCAGTCAAACTTTGTTCCTGAATGTTCTTTTTTTTTTATATGTATGATTATACTAAATTTTCTTATCACTATTTAGTACTTTAATTTTCTTAAAAAACATTACTATAAAAAATTACAAAGAATGTATAAACATTTATATTGCCTAATAAATATTTTTTTATTAAACCTAATTACAAAATTATTATATCCTCCCTCCTCTCTCCTCTCCCCGCCATCTCTGGTTACACTTATTGTCCTCTATTTCGTTTACAGAAGCAATGTTCAATTATCTGCTTAGTTTATTTTAATTATATTATTTAGTTTATTAACAGGACAACCACCACATAATGTTTGTCCCTGAGGATGTTCTGTTAACTAAATTAAGAATAGAAACAATAGAAAAAAATGGAATAAAAAATTTTAATAAACTTTGCAGGCAAAAAAAAAGCATTCTTGGATTGCCTTTTGGAGATGGGTGAAGCTTTAACAGACCAAGACATTTGTGAAGAAGTGGATACATTTATGTTTGAGGTTTATTTTTTATTTTCATTTTTAAATTTAAGATATAATTATAAGTAAATTAATACTTACACTATTGAACATATAAAAAGCACTTTATCCTCTCTGGAGTACTTTTGGCTATTTCTTATGAATTTTGGTATGTTTAATCGAGATCAGACCCAGAATTTTTATTTCAGGCTCCATTGAAAATAGAGATAAGAATATTATGATAATAATAAAAACTTAAAAAAAAAATGCCTTTCCTTTCCGATTTTTAATTTTTATATTTAACATATGAATATAAATTTACATTTAAAAAGTACTTTTCCCTCCCTGGAATACTTTTGGTTATTTCTTATCTTATGAATTTGGTATGTTTAATGCAGCTCAGGGCACAGGCCTTTCTTTTCACAATTGAAAGAATATCTTGGTGAAATCTTTCACTACGCTTATCTAATACTATTTCCGAATTCTCAGGAAAGAAATCTAAATAAATGTAATCAAGTTCTATTTTTCTATTACAGTTATTAAGCATATTTTTTTGTACAGGGACATGACACAACATCTGCTAACTTGGTTTTCTCTCTATTTCTTCTGGCCAATCATCCTGAGGAACAGGTATGTAATATTAATGTTTTTGATTTTGTTCTTTTGATTTTTGTTAGAAGTGTTTCTAGAGCTTAGTACAGTTAGAAATGTAAATTGATAAAATAGTTACAGAACATACTAGCCAACTTTCCAACTCTTAATCATAATAGAAAATTTGCTTAATGTAACCTGCTTGAAATTTTAAAATCGTTTTCACTGAACTATCTAAAAATACCCTCAGTAAGTTAAGTGACAAATTATTTCCAAACAATTTTCGTCTCATTGCTTGTCTAATGAGTCCACTTTATAGGGACTGGGTTTACTACAGGAGAGTCTCCTGAGGTCTCACCCCATGGCTGATGAAACAGAATAAATAATTTTTCTGCCATGAGCCAGGACCTTGAGCATTGGAAGATCAGTGTCCCACCACTGAACTACCCTTCTCCCTCAATATCATAGAACAATAATATAAATATAAATATTAATATATAATATTTTCCATGCAACACATATAGTGAAAGCAATCCTCTATTAAAAAGGGGGATAAGTTGAACTGTGCTAATTATAGGGGAATAGCGCTACTACCAAATGTCAAAGTGCATTCAACTGCTATAAGTAAGCGACTAGTGTCATGGGGAAAAAGAGTATGTAGAGACTAACAATGAGGTTTCAGAAAAGATAGATCAACAGTGAACCACATCTTTGTTGTCAGACAGATATTAAATAAAGCATAGGGACATAAAACATATCTGCACCTTCAAATCTTTATTGATTTTAAGCAGATGTATGACTATAGGCAGAAAGGAATTAACCCAAACTATAAGAATGTTAGGAATTCCCGAAAAATAGATTTTTTTGACAGAGACGACACAAAGAAACATGAAGTGGAAAGTCAAAATTCAAAATGACCTTTCAAGCAGCTTTGAAGTAAAAGAGGGCTTGATTCAGGGAGACCCTATATTGCCAGTCCTTTTTAATCTATTGCTGGAGGGGGCTATGAGAGCAATAAGGACCAGTGCTGGAGGGATGATTTACAATTGACTGACACAATTCCTTGCATATGCGGAGGATATTCTTACATTCTTACATTGTCAGCTCTGGCAGGATTAATTGAGGAGTTCGAAATGACAGCCAAGCCACTTGGCCCGAGCATAAATGAAGATAAAAGCCTTCACATTAGTCATCAAGGAATAATGTAACAATTAATGAATATGTTCAAATCAATCAGCATCGTTTTCGAATAATGAAAAAAATTAAATACCTAGGAGTGTTGACTGACCAAAACAAAATACAGGCCAAAATAAAAGCCAGAATTACAGCAGGTAATAAATGTTTTTATTCCGTGGCAAAATTACTAAAATCGAACTGACATGGGATGCCAAAATAACAGTTTATAAAACCATTATCAGACCAGTCATTACTTACGAGTATCAAGGAGAAATCCTAAGGAAAATATACGGTCCCAAAAGAATAAATAATCAGTGCCAAATAAGAAAAAGCTTAGTTATATGAGCTTTTTAAGAATGAAAATATTGTTGTCATGGTCAATAGGCACCACACCGCTTCTCATGGCTGGTCCATGTAGAGAAGATGGAGGAAGACATATGCCAAGAAAACTTCTCTATAACTAACCAGGAGGGGCACGCCTTAGAGGAAGATCTCGACTAAGGTGCAGCAATGACGCAGAAGAAGATTTCAGCCATATGGGTATAAGAAGATGGAGAAGAACAGCTGGCAATAGGGAAGTCTGTACAGAGGCTTGTTCTGTGGCCCAGGTCCTTAAGGACTGTTGAGCAAATTAATAATATAATCAATTTTATTTTTAGATTTGCTCTGAAATAAGACTATTCATAAATAAATCATAAAGCCAAATCAATTAATGTTGTTAATATTTTCCTTTAAAGTAAAACTTATTTAAATGTAACTTAATATATTTATTTTTATAAATGGAAATATTAACAAAAGAACTGGGGGGATTTGTGATTGAAAACTTGGGCTAGTCTTTAAAACTGATTGACAGCTGTAATGAATAATTCTGATATTTCATTCAGTTGGAACAAATTGTTTCTGAATAAAAACAATTTGAAAAAAAAAAAACTGGTATGTCCGATCCTCAGCCATGTGAAGGTGACTTCTTCTCTACAACTGCTGCGTTTTTAGCTGCTCCACGTTGAATGTCTTTCTTTATTGTCTTTAGTTATCTCAGTGCACTTTTGTCCTACAGTCTTCACGATTCTTGGGATGTGATTTCTCCTAGGGGTCTCGCAAGTTCAGATGCTGTCAAAGAAGCTTTACTGTGCCCTGGAAGGCTAAGAATTTCTTTTGCTGCTCTATCAGCTATTTGGTTTCCTTTAACGCCTATATGCCCAGGAGACCAAACAAAATGTGCCATCATTCCAACATCATGAAGCATTTTAATAAGACTTAAAATATTGTGCAGCCCTGGACTGTTTGGATTCATGTGGTTCCAAGCTTTCAGAGTACTAAGAAGCCTGTCACCACAACCACATTTGCAATTGGGGGCATCATGAGGTATTAAAGAGTCATTGCGATGGCGATAATCTCTACTATGTAGACATTACAAAGATGATATAGTTTACATTTGTAGATAGTATCAGGAGTGACAAAGGCTGATGCAGTAGATGTATCTGATTTAGACCTGTCGGTACATACTAGAAGGAGTTCAGGTTAGGTGAATTTAATGAATTTGGTGAGTTGGAAATTTAATTTTGGTTGTATATAGGTCCAAGGGGATATCATGTTTTCAATTTCATTTAATCTAATTTGTTTTAGTTTATTTGCTATAACTAATGGTAATGTGATGTTCCTCTTTTTTTGAAATCTTTTTGAAAATTTGTAGATTGGTTTCTGTGTAGTATAGTGGTAGGTATCCCTGCCTGTCACTGGAATGATATAATTTATTCAGATGAGAACAAATTTAATATTGATAGTGAGATAGAAAATTTGAAAGGAATTTGATCTAATAAATTTGTTAGCAACAATGAAAAGTAGAGCAAGGAGTATTCAAGTGAGGAGTCGGGAATTGGGATTTTATAAATAGAGTAATACAGAAATATAAATTTAGATTAATTCAAAAGGGTTTTAAGGGCTGGTAATGGCAAAACTGGGTAGAAATGAATATGTGAATTTTAGCAAGGTAGTAACCATTCGCCTGAAGCTCTTCACGCAACAGAATGGTAGCCCCATAATTATCCGAATGAACATGAAAATCTTCTCCAGAGTCCAGATTTGAATCCCATTGAAGGTTTATCGGCTTATGTTGATTCACAGCTCAGAAATGAAATTATAATATCAGTAAAATATCTTAAAACTAAATTGTTTGATGAATTGGGGAAAATGCCTCCCTAATCAAATTCAAAGTTGATCCAACCGAAGACTAAATGGTACTAAAAAACAAAAGACTGCGTTCAAAATGTTAGTTTAAATATTTTTAGTAAAATAAATAGATGAATTACTGTAAAATATAGCTATGTATTTAAACTTTTGCTGCATTCGAATTCTTATATTATTCTTCAATGTGTTATAAAAATACATATATTAGGAAAATATTTATTTATATATATAAACCATTTTAGAAGGATTACAATCAGAGTGAAAATATAATAGTTACATAAGGAAAAATAATAATAATAATAAGATTTAAAATGTATATCAACTTTTGTTTTTAAATAATGCAAGAAGAATACCTATTGGGAACAGTATTTTTTAATATGTAACATATCCATTTCAACTTTCTGTTGACTAATATTAATCAGAAAAAATTTAATTGTTCTTTATTCTAGGAAAAGGTTGTTGAGGAACTGATAGAAATATTTGGTGAAACAGATAGGCCACCTACGCTCTCAGATTTGGCCAAAATGAATTATCTTGAAATGGTGATTAAAGAATCATTGCGATTATATCCCAGTGTGCCACTTATTTCTAGAAGTTTAACCGAAGATTTGAAATTAGGTAAACAATTTATGAGTAATAACTATCAGGACAATTATTTCTTTTTTAGAAATAACTATTTTAATACTTAATGTGGTCAAACATTTAATGAATATGGAATGTTAATTGGAGTGTCTAAAAGTGACAGGTGGCTCATGATTAAAATGTAAAGTAAAAATGTAAATATAAATATTCCTGTGGTGTCAATATTTTAAGAGCTGCTTCAAAATTATGAAAAAAAAATCTATTTTTATTCTATTTTGTATCACAAAATGATATCACTGGTTGATTGATTTACTATATTTATTAAATAAATACTTATAATATGTTAATTGTTTAATTATTATTAAAAAAAAGAAATACAGGAGTCAATAAGTGCTCTGAAACAAATAATTTATGTTCAAAGGTGCAGACGTGATTATTCCTGCTGGCTATACAGCTGTTGTTGCTCCTTTCCTAGTTCATCGCTCTAAAACTCACTGGGAAAATCCAGAGGAATTCAGACCAGAACGTTTTATGCCTGGAACCCCTCGGCATCCTTTCGCTTTTATTCCTTTTTCTGCAGGTCCAAGGAATTGTATAGGTAATGCATGATAAATAAATTTCATTTATATTTGTTTTAAAAAGTTAAAATTTAAAATTTATTAATAATATTCACAGTTGATAATTTTTTTTAATATAGATTTTTCCTTTCTGCAACATAATGCAAATACTAAATGGGTCCTTAGAAAAAGGAAAAAGCAGAATATTCGACATGTTAGTTTCAAAATTATACAGTTCTCAATTAGACAAACATTTAAAAACCTGTTAAATCTTTTTGGTTTGTTTTCAATGCCAGTTTAAAATTACTGTGAGGATTATGGAAAGATATTTGTTTATACTTCTTTTCATATTTAATATTTATGTTATGTTAATTTTGATTAACAAATATAAGGACATTTTTCATCATAACTTTATTTATTTTATAAATTAAAATTTTAAAAGAAATATTTCTATTACCTAATACTTATGTAGATAAAATCTTTTCCATATTATCATATTTTTCATTATCATTAACTTCCTTTATGCTTCTATGTTCAATGCATATGCCAATTTATGTCCATTCATTTTAGTGAATAAAACTAAATTGTTAAATTGGATCTCTCCTTGTCTTATTTAGCGCTACATGGAGAGACTGACAAAAAATCATAATAGTGGGAATGGCAATGTTACAAATGTAATCCTAATAAGACAAGGGGAGACTTAACTTGACAGCTTTGTTTTCTTTAGTGAAACAAATGAAGAAAAATTGACTTATGGATTTACAATAGAAGTATAGTATAAGTTAATGATAATAATATACATTTATAAAATATTTTATGTAACTAATAGGTAGTAGAAAAATAAATACAGTAAAAGATAATTGCTTACTAAAATGTATATGATGAGCAGATAAATAATGGCTGTTTTAAATGTTTATTATAAAATTTTAGTGTCTTATTTATATATATTTTGTGTAATTGTTTTTATATCATTTTTTCATACCTAAAAATGGTCCTTTATTTATAAGATAAGTAAAGCTATAGTGGTAAAATAGCCTTATATTAGTGAACAGATATTTCTTTATATATGTTGCATATTATTCTAAAAGAGAATAAATCATAGAAATATCATGGTCATTTATTTCATAATGATTTTTAAAACAGCCATATCTGTGAAAAGTATGTTTGACAATTGGAAATATAATATCTTTTGTAAGACACATTTAAATTATATGAACAAGCTTTTTTTATCAGGATTTTAGTCTTTCCGTAATATTTATGATTCACTGGTACCTCAGGTCTCCTACCTTAGGACGTTGCTGTTTTCTATTACAAAAATAATAGGAACCACAAAATCCTTTTCATATGAAATCACCATATCATTTTAGTACTCCATCCAATAATTAATAATCGTTATTTGTTTTGTAGGTCAAAAGTTTGCAATGATGGAATTGAAAACAATGTTGTCTTCAGTTTTAAGGAAATGTAAATTGGAAGCAGTTACAAAGGAAGTAAATATCTTACCCACTGGGATCATCAAGAGTGAAGAAACAATATTAATGAAAATTTACAAGAGAAATTTGTAAAATATTATCTAAATTTCATCGTTTTGAATCATTGGCATAGTAATGTCCATAAGTCACAAAGAGGGACACGTGCCCCTCTACAAATTTATTTTTATTTTGAAATTAAATTTCGCTCCTTCTTCCTATCACACATGAGAGTGATAACTTGAAGCAAAAAATTGAAGACAATTTATAAAATAATAATTTTTTCCCCTCACATTTTAAAACTGAAACTCAGAATTCTGATTGTATTTATTCTAAACTTAGTTTCTTAACAATATGGTCTATAACAAAAATTTTATTCTAAATAATTTATAATTCTAATAATTTATTTATTTATTTATTCGACCTCATGTTCTATTATTGTTGGTTATAACGTACACTATAATCTTGTTTATAAGAACTGTAGTCTGTGGTACAGACCCCCTTTTATCATATTATAACAGCTGTCTGAAACTTTGATGATAGCTTCATCTCATCGTAACCTACAAATATTTTATTTATGAAAATTCTCATAATTGGGGCGTTTTCAATCTAGAGGACGACAAACATTGTTTATTTAGTTAGGTATTAAAAGCTCTTATTCACTTATTTGCTTTCCACTTTGATTGTAACATAACTTGATCACAAAATCGAGAAAAAAGGTAGCCTACTAAAATATTGGGCCGTTTGGCTCAATATTTTTGAAGGTCACCTTTTTTCCCAACTTTGTGTGGAAGTTATCTTAAGATTCAAGTGGAAAGCAATGAATATATACGAGTTTTCAGTCCCTAATTAAATAAACAAAGTTTGTCGACCTCCAGATTGAAAACGCCCCAATTCCGAGAATTTTCACAAATAAAACATTTGTAGCTATATACGAAGTTTAAGCTGGATGTTAATAATTTGCTAAAAAGGGGTTTGTACCACGTAATACTTTGTTTTGTGTCAGAGGTTTAGGAATATGGGAGTAAAGGTGATAACGTGCCATGAGCCCAAAGATTCAAGTGGCCCTCCGATTGTCTAAGCTTGGTTTTTTGTTGAATTTTGAAAATTTAAAAAATACTAGTGGAAGAATGGTCATAATATGTCTAATTTCTAAGAACAGGCATGTGATGGAAAAATCTAGTTTTTGAAAAATGATGCCTATTTATTTACCAATAGTTGAGCAATTGTAGGGCAATTAAAGGAAGAGAAACAATCCACATTGCTCTTTTTTTGTGTAAATTCAAGTCCAAGTTAAATAGTCTTAAAAATTTCCAAAATTTCAAATAAAGCATATTATATTTTTTTAATAAAATTTTATTTTTATTTTAATTTTGAAAGTTTTTCTTTTTTCAACTTCCATTTTCCATTGATTTGCGAAAAAATAAATAGTTCTTTTCTGTTTGGAAATAGTTGGCACTAATCCTGTTCAAAGATACCTTAAGCCATTTTTGCATATTTTCTGGATTGATTGTCTTCTGCTATATGCTGTAATGGCATCCAGTTAATATTTAATTATTTAAATCTAATATCTATTTAATCATATTATATATAAAAATAATGTATGATGTATCAAAAGTCACTTTTGATACAAAAATATTTATTTTTTCAATATAATTATTGTAAAACAAACAATAAAAATAATCAAGTATATTTAAAAACAAATTAATATTTTATATAATTAATATTTTATACAAATACATATTTTATACATTGGTTCCAAAATTATATATATATATATATATATATATATATATATATATATATATATATATATATATATATATATATATATATATAAGAGTATATTTTTGTATGGATATATTTTTAAAAAATAATTGAATTCAAAGAATATGTAATAGAAAACGTTTATAGAAAAAAACATTTTTTTTCTGTTTCCATAATTTAAGTTCAAAAGAAATTATGTTAAAATATTTAAAATTTTGATGTCTTCACAACCTTAAAATAGAATGATATGATATATATATTCCATGTTCTATAGGTTCTAAAATGAATATGAAATATATTTCCACCAGATTTGATGAACTTCCATACATAGTTATTTTTGGACAAAGTTCAATTTAAAACACATTCAACAATAGAATTCAATATTCAGGTAAACAAAAAATATTATTAAGAAGGAGTCATTTGGAGGGTGGTCAATTAAATTTAATTATATTTAAAGTATATATAATATTATTATATAATAATTGTATAATTTCGACGTTTCTACCAATGTTTTAGGCCTTCTTTAGGGCGTTTCATCTGGTACTGCCGGAAGCAATAAGTAAACTTCTGACAGAAGGTCCTGAAGGAGACCTATATAGTATATAGTATTATGTATTTGACTGCATCCCCAACCAACTCCTTAAATACAGTCAACCATCTCCACCACCACCATTAAATCAACCACACCATTAAAAATTATTATTAAAAGATAATCAGAAAATAATCTGTTAGGGTTGTCGATATATACAACAGTGGGGTTGCATAAGGTAAATTATATTATATTTTTTTTTCTGACTCGAAACAGCCCTGAAGGACTACGCGACCATGATACTGGTTTCTCTTTCCATTTCTTCCTTTCTGCCCATCTCTGCTGGAGGATATCACTAATTTTTTTTTCCTCTCCTCCGTCCACTTACTCCTGGATGGAAGTTCCTTACCGTCCACCATATGCACCGCACTTTTCACTATTTTTTGTACTCTGTCCTATCTTCATATAATTCCTGTGTTATCCCAAGCCTCTGTATTTTCTGTTTTATCTGTACCGTATATCCATGGTTAAACTTTTATCCCATAACCCTACTGAAAATCTTCTTGTTTAACCTCTCCTCGGTCATCCTTTGCATGTGTTCATAAAACCTAAGTCTTCTTACCCTCATTTCCGTTTCCAAATCAGAGATTTCACTGTAAATCTCCTTATTGAATTTCTGTCTGTATCCTTCTGGTGTTATTTTGGACCCATGAATTCTTCTTTTTATTTTCTATTATTATATATACATATATATATCACTGTACTATATACTAAACTATATAAAATATAATATAATTTATGTCATGCAACACCACTGTTGTATATATATGATTACATGATATATCAAAATAACTCTAATGGTTACTAATTTTAACACACTGTAATAAACTGCACTTACTTAAATATAACTTAATTATATTTATATAGTCTGCTTTATTATATTTAATTAATTATATTAAATATATTAACAATTAATTTATAGATTAACAGAACATTTCAATTAATCTCATGGAATAGGCATGATATAAGGCAAATCATGTGGCCTCTTGAATTGATTTTCAGAATTGTTTATATATCTGCTTTTTCAAGTTTATATTATTATTGGGTAATGAAAATTCTAATAAAATTTATGGTGTTTTCGTTTGAAACATCTTCTGAAAATTTGAAATTGTTTACTTCAATATTCTTCAATTTAATTAAATGGACAATATTAATGGTAGACACCATTAAACACTGGTTTATCACCACTGAGAGATAAACCTTTCCTGTACAGATTACCTTTCTAACGACCTACCCCTTAGCTAAATTAAATCTAATTTTAGAAAGGGAATTGACCAGCTTTGAAGCTGAACAGCCTAGGGATGTTTCAGTTTATATATATTTACTTTGCTACATATCCATTTTGTCTATTAAATCATGTATAAAATTAGTGTAAAAATAAGGGTGAAAATACAAATTGTCTTTGTATTTAATATATTTTGATTTTTTTAAAATTACTGTGGCACATCTGATGATTGAATCAAAATTCTAAAACTTAATATTTTTATGTTTTGTTAGATGCTGTATCTGAATTATATTAAATTGAAAAACAACCGGTTTTGTAGGACCAATCTATTTTGTATTTAATTTTAGGACCAAAATAACTAATATATTTATTTGATAAACATTTACATATGTGTATGAGAAGAGTAGAATTTATTTTGATGATATTAATCTGAGGTTTTTTATATATTTACACAAAAGAAATTTTTTTTTTTTTAGTCCTTAATGTTCCTTATAACATAGTATCATAAGGATTATCAAAGGATTTAACACTCAAATCATCTATTGTAGTGTCACATATGTCACACATGTCACATATGTCACATATATGAATGAAATGAGGAGAAGGTAAATTATCCTCTCCACCTCCCTTAACTTACCCAAAAATCTGTTGCAATTAATATAGAACTTATTACAAATAAAAGAAAGGTGCTGATACTGAAGAAAAAGAAACCTATATCACCAATAAGCTATTCACGAGTATTGAGTGGCTATTAAATTATCATTCATTGGATTTATCATCCATATACAAGGAGTTGATCAAAAGCCCGTGATGTAGTATAGGGTCTCATATCCATACAGCATGAATGGGTGCACCATTGTGCAGAAAAGACATAACTTCGATTTCTGTTGAGAGCTCCTTTCTGAAATTTCCTTGTCACAGGGAAATAAAATCTATTCACTGCTATGATTCAATGGCGGACAGTTATTCAGAGTTTTGGTCTCCAATCTGTAGAGAAAGCTGGGTCAAGGTCGAATCTATCTTAGTTTTCTAAGCAGAGGAAAATGGAAAAAGAGGACAACAAAGATAGTGCATTACGATCAATTGAAAGGATGAGGTGAGTATGACTAATGTCAGGATGGGCAGTATTGATCAGGCATGACAGCCAGGGGTGCACATCCTTCCCAAGGGCGATGCTGCATAAATCTTTCCGCTCTAATTTTCACGAAATTTTATTTCTTTTCAGTTTTTAAAAACAGTGGAAACAAAAGAAGAATTAGAAAAAAAATGTAGATCATATACAATAACACTAGTCGTGATCTCGTCCATGTTTTTTCCTTGTCCCTGGTTAAATCTTTATTCCGAAAATTCAACTGTTTCGAAATGAGACTCCTCAAAACCCCATGAAAATGTCTTCCCTCACAAATTTTGATACCGCAAGGCGCCCCATGAAACACTTCTGGGCACCCCTGAAGACAGCTTCTGATGGAGTGAATCAGGGGAAGAGGATGGCTTAGCCTACAATAGGTTGATGACGTTGCTGTTGATACAAAGAACGTTCTGTGGAGCTTTGCTACTGGATGGTAACTGAAAGTTAAAGAGACCGAGACGGTTAGCGCAAACTACTGAGAGCCAAAATTCGACACCCCATCGAAAAGTCGAGCTAATAACAGATAGCGAAAAATTAACGTTTGCTCGCCGTATGAGAAATCAATGGTTGAAGACCATAGATGGGTGTAATCATAATCAACAATTATGGTTACGGTTAAGATTATAGTAAAAAAGAACACTTATTTCATTACGCGATTGTAATTGTAATTACGGTTTTTGATTTTGATTATAATCGCGTAATCATGTAATCGTAATTATAATCAAAATCACTGTAATCGTAATCATGTAATCATAATTGCGTTATATTAATTAAAAAATCAAATACGCACGATTTTCCTCTGTTTAGAGATAGGCGTAAAAGAAAATAAGGATAAAACATTTTCAATTTTCTTCTAAGTTGTCGGGAGCACTTTCTATAGTTACGGAATGGACTTAATCCGTAACAACTATTAATATTAACTTTTATTTTATTTAATCATTTAATCATGCATTGACCTTTCTCATGACCTTTATCATAGCATAAAGGCACAAAGCCCTAGATAGCCAGGCACTAGCGGATCCAGGATTTATTTTTGGGGGGCTTCAGCCCGAAAGTTTTTTTTTTCATAAAAATAACGATAATTACTTTGGAAAAAAAGAAAGAAACTAACTACCTGTATGAAATGGTGTTTAAGTTATTCCTAAAGCCCTTTTAAATGTAATTACATGAATAATAATACTTTAAGAGATACTTTTTAAATATTTTTTTCGATAAAACATGGTTATATTTTACCATTTTGGGGGGGAGGCTTCAGCCCGAAATCCCTCCCCCCCGTAGATCCGCCCGTGTAGCCAGGTCAAGCTATCTCTGATAGCTTAGAAATAGTTATCTAGAATGTATTGACTGGACAGAAGACACTTATCAAGACTTAGGGAACAATAACCGTTTTCAGCAAACGAGCACTTTCTCACAGACTTCATATCAATTCTAAAAGATAAGGATATCAATTCTTAATAGACATAACTTCATTCACACGCTTCCTAGACCGTCCAGAATTGATTCATCCCCCTACTATTCCTTAGCATATAACCCCCATGATCCTCAGACCAAATCACTCATGCAGTTGCATTCTTGAGTCATACTATTTACTGCAGGAGACCTGGAGTGAACCCATGTAGTCAACTCATATATTCATATTATATTACTTTGTATTTTAGATGCCATTTGTAACATTATGAATAAAACCATTATTTATAAAGTCTCCACTGCCTCCAATTCGTTAACTTATGATAATAACATCGGTTAACATTTAACATCTTCCAAATTTCCATTCGCTTTTCTTTTTTTAACTCGTGAATGGATACTCGGTTTTTCATCGTTCCAAGAATTTCATAACTGTTTAGAGGCAGGCCAATGTAAACAGGATATCTAAAAATGTATTCGAATTTCCATTCGCTTTTCCTCTTTTATCTCGTGAATAGATGCTCGGTTTTTAACCGGTCCTACAGTTTTCCAACTTCGTAGATGTAGGCGAAAATGGAGGATTAGTATAGACAATTTTCCAAATTTCCATTAGCTTTTCCTCTTTCATCTCGTGAATGAATGCTCGATTTTTCACCGTTCCAACAGTTTTCCAACTACGTAGATGTAGGAAAAATGGAGAATTAATGTTAAAAATATTCCTAATTTTTTGCTGTTTTCTTCTGATCTACATAGTCGGATAACTGTTGGAACGGTGAAAATCTGATCCTTAATTTCATAAATATAAGAGGAAAAGCACTGAAAATTCGGAAATTTGCACTACGCCTGTTTCCAATGACTTTGCTCTATACAGTTATAAAATGGTTAGAACGATGTAAGACTCCAAGCACGATATAAACGAGGAAAAGTGTATGAAAATTCGGAAAAATTTTTACAACTCTCTTTTCCTTAGACCTGCCTCTAAAAAGCTATAAAATGGTTGGAGCGGTGAAAAACCGAGCATTCATTCACGATATAAAAAAAAGAAATGAGTATGAAAATTCTGAAAATTTTCGACAGAATACCCTATTTTTACCTACCTCTACATGTTGGAACTGTAGAAAACCGATCCTTCATTCACGAGATAAAAGAGAAAAAGCTAATGAAAATCAGAAAAATGTTAAATGTTAAACTGACGATATTATCATAGAAAGTGTTCCCAACAGCAAAAAGAAAATAGATAATGTTTTATACTTGTTTTCCTTTAAGCCTATCTCTAAACAGAGAAAAGTCATGTGTATTTGATTTTTTTTTATAACGATTACGCGATTATAATTAAATGATTATGTTTACAATGAATTTGATTACGTGATTACGAATACAGTGAGTTTTATTACATGATTACACGATTGTAATCGTAATAAGGTTTATGATTACTATTGTAATCAGGTAATCGTTTCATACTTTTTCTATATTTATGGTGCTATTGTATGAAGTATAAAATTGGTGTGGTCATTAAGTTTTATTTTCGGTTGTAATCATGTAGTCATTGATTACGATTTTGTCCATCTCTGTTGAAGACGAATCAATGAAATTGACCATTTATCATATTTTTGCCTGCGACAATCGATTTTGAATAGCTCGAGATATGTATAATCGATTTATTACAATTTTTCTCTTGGGTAAGGTAATATTTCTCTCAAATTCTGACGTCGCTCCAAAAGTTCCCTTTCCCAAAAAACATTTATGATCTGTCTCTGGCATATTATACCAACTTTTTTAGACTATTCATGCGGTTATTTCGTTATAATTTGTTTTTATTGTAATAATATTTGTTTTCTCCTTTTACTATATAAATATTCATTCTATAAATAACCATTTCTTTTAATCTACATTTAACAACCTAATCTATCTTTACCTATATTGTATTTACTCAAAGGAGCGGTATATCTCTGTGAGTAGGGTATTGACTTTCAATGCTCAAAGTCCCGGTTTCTAATCCGCCTGTTGGCTGGTTATTATTTATTCAGTTAAAGTAGCCATGGATCGAACCTAGTATCTAATGACTCTTAATTAAGTGGATACTCTTAATTAAATAATTAATTAAGGAAGAATACATGCCAGTTGAGAGTGATCTCGGACCAATCACCTCACTGCACAACAGTTGGCCTCGGAACAGTACTTCCTTATAAAGTACCGAAGCCCTTCATGGGATGTAGTGGTAAAATTTTATTTAAAAATCTATTTAGTTATACTATATTTCTCTATTTTTTATTTCATTTTTAATCTATATTTCGTATCGGTTAGGTGTCATTTATTGATTCATTTTTTTTTTTTTTTACGTTGTAATATATACTTTTGCTCCCTTACTACCAAAGGTAGGGAAGCTCTACATTCGCGCGAGAGGTTAAAAAAAAAATCTGTGCTCTCAATCAAATATTCCTGCACGTGTTTTACATTTTAGACATCAAAGAAAAAAACTGGTGTCTGTCAGTAATTACATTATTTTTCCGGGCCAGGGAAGATGACGGGGGATTAATGCCAGAGTTATAAGACCACCTTCTCTCGCTGGCACACGGACACGAAATCGTAATAATTTTATCATGATAACTCATGTTTATCAGGTTGCCCAGCAACGAGTGTTTTGCATATGCGTTAGTCTGCTCGGCCATCCTGCCCCTTCCCCCCATATAATCACAACCATGAACAGGCATATCATCTTCTACCGAGTATCCGATTTTCATAGAATGTGCGGATTGGTGCATATATGGTCTATTTCAATTTTATTAAATTCCATTCAATACTTTTCCTTACGCTCGCATAAATGTATTTACTTGAATATGCCTATATTTTTTATGTATTTATTGACATCCCTACCGTGCCTGATAGCCAATGCGGGTTTTAGCAGTAGTGAGATGTTGAGCGTTTCTTCCTAACAGCACACTGCTGCTAGAAAACTATATTTTAATTCCATAAGCAGGTCCATGTCGATTACATTTCTTCTTCTAGGTTTGGCCGCGGTTTTCCTCTGCTCCTCCGCCGGGCTTTTTAGGCTCGTTTCTAGGCTTCTGGGGTACATTAGCAATAACCCTCGGAAATGGTTCTAACTAGTACTCAACGTCCGTAACGTCTCCTTGTAAGTATCCAGCGTGTAGGCCCAAATAACAGAAATCATTAAAAAAAAAAAGTTGGACTCGTGTTTGCTTTGGTTTTTTTGGTTTTTACCATCACATGGACCGCCTTTATCTTTATATATATATATATATATATATTTGTAATTTTTATTTGTTTCGTAAAGCGAAAATATCATCCAAAGAAGCAGCGATATTATAATATAAAATAAACAAAAAAATATTATTTTCTAAATATAATTATATAGATATATATAATGGTGGGGGCTCCCCTCCAGAGACAACCCCTAGGCCAGCACCTCACAGACACCGTCACCTTCCCGTGCAGTCATGTGGTCCTTACTAGCAACTTCCGCAGTCATCCTCACTTCTGTACTATCCCAAGAAACCATTCGTGAGTAAATATATAATATTTAAAAGTAGCAGAGTATGTTTTGTAAACTTGTATATTAAAATAAAAAAATAATCGAGTTTTTTTCTGCAAATTTGGAACTAGAAATTCATCCCAAGATTGCTAGATTATTATTAATCGTGCTTAAAAAAAGAAACAAGTTTTAATATATTTTGATTATGTACAAAATAAGAGTATACGAAATAAATGGAGTCACGAATTTTAAAGCATTTATTTTTTTCAAGTATAGTATTGTTTTATTATGAATTAAATAATATGATCACAGCCGATGGCTGGTCTTCTTACAATTTTATGAGATTAAATATATTTATAATGCCATCGGTTTATTTCAAGAAATCATTAAGTGGCATTTCATTACCTTAAATCATTAAGAATTTTGGTGGATTTTTCCTTCATGAAATTGTGCGCTTGTTGTTACTATATTTAATTTATAAAAGGGTTGTCATTTTCTTCTACTTTTTATGTGTTTCTTATCGATAAATTATTTCAAAATTCACAAAAACTTTATTTTTTAAAGTTTACCTCCATCAGTACTTGTGAATTTTCGTTACAAACCGGCGATATAATTAATTAATAATTTAACAAAATTCAATGACATTTCTTACTAAGGCATTGAGTTATTTAAAAACATATTTATTAACTTTTTATTAATTATTAATTAACATTTATTAATTATATGAATATTTATTGTAAAATATTTATAGACTATTTTTTATAGACTTTTCAACATATTCTATCGGAAATTCAAGAATTAGTGTTACTATGTTAAACATCGAATTGAAAATTCATAAATTCAATTTTTAATAATTTCTTCTTTTCTGTGTTTTGTTACAATTTTTTTTTTCTTCTTTTGAAGAGAGCTGAGGAATACCAATAATTTTTAATATCTATACTCAGTAATTTAACTATTCAAAACAAAATGCATCTTGTTAGTTTTTTAGATTATTAAATTCACTAGAAATATTTTTGGAAAATAAAATCTTAACAATCACAAGTTTGGGCCTCACGTAGCTTAAATCACCATGATGTAACAGAATTACTCGCAAAGGGAAATTTAAACTTAAAACATGATTTTTTTTTTTTTTTTTTTTTTTTTTTGTGAGAAGAGTATATTTTCACATCCACTGCTTAAACGTGGAGGCGACTGTTCGGAAGATAAATACTGCGTGTAAAACCGTGCGCATTATAAAGAAATGGTTAACATTTATTTTACATAAAATTTTTCCTTAATTTTCCAATAAAAATTTGAGTACGTCAGTTAAAAATTATGTTATTTTTATGTTCGTAAATACGAGCACATAGATGTACATATATACAATAAATAAAAATAAAATAATAGTTTTTATTTTTATTCGAAGAACTGAGACTCGATATCATGTAAACGTTTTAGTTAATAATTCACACCTTCTACCTTATGTAATCTATGTTTTATTTTAACAATAATATAGAATGATATAGATAGTACAAAAATGATATATATATATATATATATAGGATTACATGTAATTAAGAGAATAGAAATTCAATAACTAAATTGATTTTTAACCAGTTAAAAGAATTTTTTTTTGTTTTTAATATTCGCCTAATAATCATATTTTATTTAAAATTGGTAAATGGTTGACTGTCGTGAATAATGAAGATAAGAATAGTTGGGGTGATCAGTCAAATAAGAAGGCAAAAATAAATGATACTATTTATTTTGACTATAAATAGTATCATTTATTTTTGCCTTCTTATTTGACTGATCACCCCAACTATTCTTCTCTTCATATTTTATTTAACTTGGATCTAAATTATTTATTTAATAAAAAAAAAATGGCAATTAATCGTACATTTTAATAGTGATTGCTGAATACTAGTTAGAATTAGGATTGGCCAAAAAAATAAATTCGCATTCATATATATTAAATGATTCTAAAATAGTAGATTATAGAGTCATTAAATGTATCTGTTATGGGATGGATTTACTTTCTTGTTTATCGAATAGTGAATTCGATAATTTCCCTCGCTGTCCATAAACGGATTACTGATGAATTATAGGCAGTAAATCTAGGATTATTTAAATGACTTAATAACTTAATAGAACTAAAATTAATGTGTTTTTGAAGATTTTATTTAATATTAATCCTTGGAAACTTCAGTTTTTTATTTAGTCCTGATAAATAGCTAAGTGTAACGATTATAAAGATTATAGTTGCCCGGATATCATATTGAAATATAATTTACATGGAAATGTTAATCTTTGGATTTTAACCTATGATCCTTGGAATTTCCTATAGAGTAACTTTTGGGCAATGATAAAAGAAAGAAAAAAGAAAGAAACGAACACGAATTCGTACTATGTTCTTCTTTGTCGTGGAAAAGTAAGAATGGGACAAAGCATTCGGAGATAATACCTGTGTTCTGTGAAGTTAGTAATAATTTCTGTTTTGCGGATTTTACTAACTTTTAACATACATCCTGTTTGAAACTGCTTAAAATTACCCTCCTCCCCTTTTTTTCTATTAAAGCGTACGTTGTCATGTAGTACGTCAGCATCGATTTGTAAACGAATTAAGCTATGACTTTCATAACTGATGATCGATGGATCAATTGATGGATGTAATTCATGTTAATTTTTTTAATTACCTAAGCAATCAAGTATTCTTCTAATCGTTTAAGAAATATTCCACTTTCAACCGATTGTTAAATATTAATACCTTTCAACTTATAAAAGGCATCACTGATGTATGAACTGTGCGTCGATAAATGTTGTGTTTCATAAGTATTGATATTTTTGGGTTATACTATGCTGGTATATTAGGATAGCATGTTTTAAATGTATGCTACGATATTTTATTTATATAATAATAATAATAATAATAATAATAATTAAATATTTAAACATTTGGTTTACGTTAACTGGTATAATAATTTTCGTCATTTTTTTTTTCTTTCCTTAACAACTAGGTAAGCAATTTATTATAGTCGGTTAAAATGTTGTGTATCCTATGTTTTCCTTAACACAACAACATTTTCTATTATCGGTCGATTCTTTTTTTAGTAAGGTTATATACCTATTATTAGTATTAAATATAGATTGCCAATGCTTCCACGGTCCCATAAAAATGTTTACGATACTTCAGCTAACAGCAAACTTATCGTATCATATACAGAAAATATATTTAAATTTATTAATAATAATTTAAAAAATAATTATATAACTAATTATTAATGGATTACTATATGGAATCACACCACGAATTATTTTTAAGAAATACATTGCGAAAACAAATCAAACCCATTTCATTTATAGACCTAGTCAGATTTTTTTTTTTTATGTTATATGGAAAAAAGCTGATCACCAAGTCATATTTTTTTGGAGTAACATACATAATTCAAAAACTTTATGCTCGAGGCCGTGATGGCAGAGAATGTTAAGGCGTCATTACCTCAACAAAGTTTAGTATCTCTCTAGCGGTCTCAGTTCGATTATGGTCTAGGTGCAATCAAATTTATTTTATAACGTACCCACAAAATTTCTCAAATTTTTTCTCTACTCTGGTCGAAACAAGTTGATTTTACCTTTAGAATCACTCTCTCTCTCTCTCTCTGTCTCTCGTATGTCAAAAAGTAAAAAGTAAATTTTACTTCTTCAAATATATTTTAATTATTACCAACTTTTGCAAGATTTGATCTAGCTTTTATTCTATTAATGAAATAGTGAACATTTTAAATATTTTCCAGAAAAGTTCCCTAGCTAGACTATTCCAAAAATTCATAATTTATATGTTTTTTTCTATAAAAAAATAAGTATACACATAAATAAATATTTTAAGTATTATTTCATATGTTATCCGTAAATTTTATAGAAGTTATTTGATAGGTTAATTATATATATATTTATATGTTTTGTGATTTTTAATATTTGTTTAATTTTCATCTACTTTCAGGATTTATTTATATTATTATTTTTTTCTAAATAGACGTTCTAGTAAATGAGTACCAGTGCCGACTAGAGAAAAAGGGTTTGTCGTTTAGGGTCACTTCCTGAACATTTATATTTCTTACATAATTACCTGTATTTATGTTTATCAATATCTTTTGAGAATCAAATATACAAAATAAGCCATTTTGAAGTCAGTAAAAAGCACTGCTGAGTCTTATAATCGCATATATCTATAGTATAAATATAATATCCCTTTTCACATGTTTACTGCCTAACATATTTCACAGCTTTATTCCTAAGGATTAAATACATTAAATTTAATTATTAAATACAATTATATTAGACCATTTGTACACTACTCCAAAAAAAAAAAAAAAAAAGGTTTTTGAAATATAGGTGTACCAAGGAAAATACATTCCCTTACTTACTTATAAGTGCATTTCCCAATATTCTAGTCCTATTCTGTTGTCTATAGGTCAAAGAAAAAATATTTTGGTTGTCTTGTTGAAAGGAAATTGTAGTAAAATTCTTCAACATTTTTTTCCTCTACCTATTAACAATTTTTTTTCCTGTCCTTTCAGCCTTAGTTGGAATACATTTGGACGTTAAAACAAATTAAACGAGTGATTGTTCAGATGTAAACCATCGTCCTCAATTTATCTCTCAAAAATGCTTATATTTGTCGATTCCTTATAATAGATTTACTGAGACCAAAATGGATTTTGTCCATTTTTAGAAAAAAAAAATCTTTTTGCACCGGAATCAAAACTTATTAACGGGAAAAAATTCTAGTCTGAAATGGATGGTATTTTACTGCAAATCCTTTCATGTTTTTTTTTTTTTTTTTTTTTTTTTTTTTAATGAAATTGAATTTTACAAATTGAAATGAAATGGGACAAAATACATTTAGACATGAAACTCCTCATTGTATATTTGATGGCTCGTTTTAAATGTAGGAATTCAAGATTCCCTTTTATTTAAAAATCATAGAAATCATACAGAAATGAGCTGATCTATTGTTTTCTTTTTAATAAAGCTATGAATAGACAGTAAC